GGCCGCCACAGGAAACCCTCCCTTCCCTCAGCCGGCACAGGAAGTGACGCCCCGTTTCACTCTGTCGCGACCGCAGTCTTATGACGTCGCGCCGCTGGGCAGACGGTATTTTCATGGGCGGCTACTCTGCCGAGCAGGCTGAGAAAAACGCCGGTCGAGGAAAAAGGGGCTGGGGATTTAGCTCAGCGGCTTAAGCGCCTGCCTTGCAAGTGTGCAGTTGTTAGTTCGATCCCTGGTACCAATAAAAAAAAAAAAAAAAAAAAAAAAAAAAAACGAAAAAGATAAAAATAAAAAATAAAAAACAAAAAGGGGGAGTAAACCCTCGAGGTTTGATCCCTGGTGATGTTTGGCAGATGGACATCACACATATACAGGAGTTTGGGACTCTTAAATATGTTCATGTTTCCACAGACACCTGTTCTCACGTCATATTTGCAACAGCAGAAACAGGTGAAAAAGTGTCTAATGTGATCAATCATTGCCTGGCGGCTTGGGCCGCATGGGGCAAACCAAAAATATTAAAAACTGATAATGGACCAGCCTATATAGGCAAAGCTTTCAATGAGTTCTGCAAAATGATGGAGGTTCAATTAAAACATGGTATCCCATACAATCCCCAAGGTCAAGGAATCATTGAGAGGGCTCATAGAAGCCTCAAAGAAATTTTACAAAAACAAAAAGGGGGAGTAGGCCAAGGCCTGGCCCCAAAGGCACGATTATCCATGGCACTATTCACACACAATTTTTTAAATTTAAATAATGATAATCGCTCCCCAGCTGTGGAGCACTGCAACCCTTCCCCCAACCATAAAGGGTGGGTGAAGTGGAAAGATGTCCTGACAGGACAGTGGATGGGCCCGGATCCAGTGGTCAGCTGGAACCGAGGCGCGATTTGTGTTTTCCCACAGGAACCGGGACGAGAACCACTGTGGATACCGGAGAGACTGACACGGGCAACAAAGCCCTCGACTGAAGATCAGACCTGCCCTACTGGAGATCCATCACAGACCAACCAACAAGATGAATAGAAATAGCGGTAGCCCGAAATGGACAAAAAGATCCTCAGGCATATGCATGGCTTGCTCGATTGGCCCACGACCGAGTCTAGATATGGCGGGCATCCTTCATTCTCCTCCATAAGGTGACAATACACAGCAGGGTAGATGAGTCAATGACGGGTAAGAGCGTGCCTCCCCAGCACGACTCGACCTAAGCCAGGCCCTACCCCATCCTGCACGTAAGCCGCTGGACTGTTAGATGCTGCCCAGGTCTAAATTTCTCTCCGAGGGGATTTCTTTACGGAGAGGAAATGAGTGCAAGCTTGTGTGCATCCAGGTTCCGTCCAGTTTGTGCCTGGCCCTAGAAAAAGGACGAGGGCCTCAGGGCCTTGGCAGACCATGGGACGGCCGACCAGGGTCTAAGCCAAGGACCTACGGTGGGCCTACGCATAGGGCATAAGCCTCTGCACCCAGTCCAGGAAGGGCTACGATGCGCACATTTATAAAAAAAAAATAAAATAAAAAAGGGGGAGATGTTGGGAGCCGCAGCCCCGAGCCCGGTCGCCTCACTTGGCGGACGTGAGGCCTGTAGTAAAGAGTGAGGCCTGAGGTAGATTACCCCTCCCATCGAATATGCTAGTTTCCTGCTTACCGCGTAAACAACCCGCTCAACAATATAGTCTGCCTAGCAACTGATGATGTTAGCCAATCAGCTTGCCTTGCTTACTTTAACATGATTGGACACTGTATCCGTATATATACCGGTGCCACCCCTGGGAGGAAGTAGAAGCCAGGTAGAAGCCCGGAAGTAGAAGCCCAGAAGGAGCTGCGGAGAGCGGACCGATAGAGGCTTCGGGGCAGACTGAAGCACAAGAGGAGCCGCGGAGAGCGGACCAAAGGAGGCTTCAGCTGGGAGAACCCAGGGCAGGCTGTACGGAGAAGGAAAATAAAAAGAAAAGGTTGTCCACTACCAGACTGTGTCGTGTGTCCTTCCTGCCGGCCGGGAGCGGACATCGACAGACCTAACTTCTCAAAATTTGAATTGAATGGGCTGAGAATATAGTTCAGTAGTAGAGTGCTTCCTTAGCATGCATCAGGCTTTGGGGATAAATTTCCAGCATTATCAAAGGAAAAATACATAAATACCTTTTCACAGTACTTAAAGATAAGAACTACAAATATATACTATTATTCATCAATATTATGTAACCTTTATTACCAGAAGTTGAAAGACAAGAACTATAAATATGTGGCTAGATATTAAATATTCTAATCCAAAATGCTCCAATATCTGAAACTTTTTGAGCACCAACAAGATGCCAAAGTGGAAAATTCCACACGTGTGACAGGTCACTGTCAAAATACAGACACACTAAATATATTGTACAAAATTATCTACAGGCTATGTGTATACAGTATATTGTGCAACAAATGAATTTCATGTTCAGACAGGTCCATCTCTAAGGTATTATATAAAATCAATGCACATATTCCAAACTCCAAAAAACTCCAACATCTGAAATATTTCTGGGCCCAAGCATTTCAGGTTAGGTGTATGTATCTAGAAATATTCCAAAATCTGAAATACCTAAAAGCACTTTTTATAATGGCTACATAACCTGTACTGGCTGCTGCAACTACTACATCTACTATTTACAGCTTAATTGCTACAATATACCACTATCCTTTAAGAACTTTATTAACTACAATCCTCATGAGCAGCCCTGTGCAACCAGCACTGTTACTGTCCTCATTTAGCAAACTAAAAAAACACACACACACATGGTGTCACACACCTTTAGTTTCATCTACCTGGGAGACAGAGATGCAAGGGTTGCCTTACTTCAGAAGTTTAAGGCCAATCTAGGAAACATTGTGAGACACTAACCATTTAAAAAATAAAAAAAAAATTCTAAGGGAAAAAACCTGTTGATCTTTTTTTTTTTGATATTGGGAATCAAACTCACAACTCATTTGGTATCGAGCTTACCAAGCAAGTACTTGAACCACAGAACTAAATCCCTGGCCCTAAAGCCTACTTATCTTATACAATCTCAGCTTATTTTATACTTGACTTCCTTATCCCTAAGCTCCTGTTTACTTCTTTCCTTATCTTGGTGTAGAACTCTGCTTAAATGGCTCCAGGACCTCTAAGAAGGATATAACAAAGTAATTAGAATATTTGCTAAACATTACTGACACCCTTTGTAGGTTTTAGCTCTATCTACTACTTATCACCTTCATGATCTTAGGCAAGTTACTTAGTTGTCAGTTTTCTTATCTGTAAAATGGGAATAGCAATAATAACTACTCAACAGTTACTGTAAGACTTCAACAGGATTCTATAAATATTTATTGAGGGGCTGGGGATTTAGCTCAGCGGCATAAGCGCCTGCCTTGCAAGCAGGCAGTCGTGCGTTCAATCCCTGGTATCGATAAAGACCAAAAAAAAAAAAAAAAAAGATAAATATTTATTGAACAACTAATATATGTCACATGGTTTTCTGGACACCAGGGATATACATGCAAAAGACTGACATTACATTCTGAAAGGGCATATGGATAATAAACAATTAAATTTAAATAATAAGGCTGTGAAGAAAATATGGTACCATGAAATAAAATGAGAATATATTAGAAAAGCAAAACATGCTATGCATGTTATCATGATGATAACTGACAATTTAATATCAAAAGTTTCTAGCTGATTTCTAGTTATAACACTTTCAATGACTATCCTCAACAAAGTACAACTAAATCTGAAAGCACGATTTGTGACTATCTATGCATGGGTGACAGACAGTCGGTAGAAAAGGCCAATTGGCCTATCTTGTACTTAGGATGGATCTTTTTCCAGGCATCGTTTTGTAATATGATGTGCTGGTTATTTAGCTAATATTTATTTCACTGAGTCTTACATATACAGATCTTACAGATGCCAACACATTTTATTATACAATACCAAAAAGTAACATTGTGGGGCTGTAACACGTAGCCCAGCGGCAGAGTACTTGCCTAGAAGGTACCAGGCCCTCAGTTTGGTTAAGGGGAAAAAAGGTCAAATCTTATATTATCAGTAGGCTTTACTCAGTGTTAAAGTCTGAAGTATCAAACACCTGCCAAGTTCACAATGGTATACAAAAATTTTGCAAAATTCTGATTTTTATATGAAAGCTCAAATTTTATCTAGCTCCCTCATTATCAAGAATTACCAAAAAAAGTTACCACAGTCACCCTATAAATCACTTTCAAGTAAAAATAATATTTCATGAAAAAATGTGGCTGATTTACCTCACAAGCCAAACTATCCCACAAATGCTTTTCCTCAAGACACTGTCCTGCCTCTATATGCAAGTATTTCTTGAGAACTATTTCTTCACACGAAATGTGAGAAATACTAAGAGCTGAGATTTTAAAATTCATCATTTTTACTGCTCATTAAAGACAATTCTAAGAGAAAGTGGTACTTTCTTTTGTTAGCTTTAAGTTAATGTTAGTAAAGACAATTATTGTTAATAAAGACTGGGGCCACTACTTTGATTTGTGCTAAACATTGCTTTTGCACCACCAGTGCAAATGTCAAGACAAAAAAAAGGCAAAGGCAAGTAACATCTTACTGTTACTCTGAAAATACATTTGACCTCACAGGTCAACCAAAAAAAAACTTAGGAATCTCTGGAGCTGTTTGGATTACTTCTTAAAACTTGCATCCCTAATAGTAAAGAACTTCAGGGAATGTTGTTTACAAACACTCAAATATATAACAGAAAAAGAACTTTCAATTTCTCTGTAGTGCAAGTTTTTCATTTTACAAATGAGGAATTGAGGAACAGAGGGAATAGCATTTACCACATCACACATTAGTAAGCAACATTTGATGGCACTTAGGACTTTTCAATTGTGTTTTACTATTCTTTAAATCAAACTAGTTTTTCCTTTGTAAAAAAGCAGATTTAGAAAATCTCAAATTTTTCTTCTTTAAAGAATAGCATAAATACATACATTTTGTGAAGAAAAGGAGTTTCTCTTTCCTAATGGAGAGTTGAGTTTCAAAATGTTCCCTGAAGCATCTTGTGCATCTGAATGATGCACCTCCTTTTCAAAACAATGACGCTTTCTAATCTGTAAATACACAACCAGATGAAGTGTAATATAAATTAAAACCAATTGACAGGGCAGCTGCTAAAAGGTCAAAATACCTCTCTGGGGTTTTTTTTACATTAAAAAACAAGACTATTTCTAACTGGCAATAATCAAACAATGTTTCAAAGCACAAAGATACATCTCATTATAGCACTTAAATGGAAAAGAAGAGAGTAACACCTATTGAATTCTAATCAAAATAGTTTAATCAGTAATATATCAATATTATAGCATTGTAAAATAATCTTACCATAAAATAGTTCTACTATGTAGACATCAAATAAAGTTCATCAAATTAGATATCAAATTAAAGTTCAATCTCATATTTAATTGGAAAATAAAGGTAAGTCAAACATGTAAACCTCACTGTACAATGAAAACACCTCAGAATAAAATTTTAAAGTTTTCACAGTCATGATTTCCTAAATGATAAAATAAATTACTTATTATTATCACTTAGTAGACATCAGATAAATTGACCTAGATTAAATTTCTTTCACAAATATCACTAAGTTTTCCTTCCAAACTATATTCCTACTTTTTTTCTATGTGGCAAAGACCTATTTAAGTCAGAAGAGGGTAGATATTAATCATTCCATTCCTACCAAAGGATAAAAGAAATGAAAACCAATTAAGTCAAAGAATATATGTTTTACAATTTACACTGTACCCTACTTCTAACATCTAACTCTTAGGTACAGTCTTAGGAGGTGAGACTCTCTATAAATTCACACTTCATTTATAATTTGTGCTTTTGCATAAATAAAATCACATTCTATTTCTAAAGAGGTTTACTTATAGAAATATTTTAATTGTGAGTAGAAGAGCTTAATTTAAACTACATAAGAAAGCAAATATTTTGATGCTGGTGTGGCACTGTATGCCTATAATCCCAGGTCTCAGAAAGCTTGGAGAGGAGAATTGCCAAATTCAAGGCCAGCTGGGCTACATAGTAAATACCAAGCCGACACACACTACAGATATGATCCTCCAAAAACAAAAACAAAACAAACAAGCAAATACTTTGAGCATATTCAATTAAAAGATTAAAGGCCAATTAGCACTCTTCATAATTAAGCCTAATAAAATTCCAGTCTCGGCGTGGTATGTTGGCACACACCTGTAATCCCAAACTCAGGAGACTGAGGCATGAGAATTGCTATGAGTTCAAGGCCAGCCTGGGCTACATAATGAGTTTAAGGCCAGCCTGAACTGCATAGGGAAACCCTCTTTCAAAAAGACAAAAATATAAAATAAAATAAAATTCCAGTCTCTTATTCTGAGGAAAAAAACTTTCCTCACCTGTAAAAAGTATACTTCGTTAAAAATACCTGGTAATTCAGGCCTTTTAATAATTTTAGAAATATAAACTGGGCATGGTGGCTCACACCTATAATCGCAGCACTCTTGGGAGGCTAAGGCAGAAGGATCCTGTGAGTTCGAAACCAACCTGGACTACAAAGTGAGCTTAAGGCCAGCCTAACCTGCATAGTGAGACCCTGTCTCAAAAAGAAAAAGAAAAAAGGAAAAAAAAAAAAAAAATACACAAATTTTATCATGTAGGACAAATCAAAAACTCCATAAAAAGACTTTGTCATTATACTAAAACTATCAATGCCAAAATATTCATAACGTGAATATTCATACCAAAGCTGTTTTGATCAAAAATTATTAGATAATAACAATGGAGTGGAGACACTTAAAAAGTGCAAAGTTGCCATATTACCAAAATATGGCTTAAGTAAATATTTTGCTGTCAAATCCTCATGCAAGAAAAGCATCATGTAATTGTGCTTTAATCAGATAGTAAATAAGTTGCTATAAACAAATATTGCTTTGCAATAAGTAACTGTACAAAATAAAGTTATAACAAACTATCATTTAAGTTATGGAGTGACACAGCCAAACTAATTTCCTAAAGTGCCACTGGAAACTTGATTTATACTTGACTACCATGTTTAACTATAACTAGATTGTTTCAGTCAACACATTCTGTTTACCTGCTGGGCAGTTTCTAAGGGACGAATTCTTTTCTTCTCTGCTTGAAAATCATCATTTTCATCTCTGTATTTGGATGCCTGTATCTTAGCAGACAACTTTGCAGCCAGTGTGTTTTTTTCAGGAGAGTCTTATAGAAGAATTAAAATTGGCATAAATAACTTATTCTGCAGCAAACTTTACAAAAGAAAACTAAAACCAAGATGCAAGATTTATTTCTAAATATTTCACACCATAACTTAAAACATGAAATACCACATGTTTAAAAAAAGTTTTTTTGGTACCAGGCATTGAACTCATGACTCCGCTTGTCAGGCAGGTGCTTATGTCACTGAGCTAAATCTCCAGCAAAAAAACACTTCTTTAACATCCAGTTTACAATACTTTAACAAATACAACAAACAAACATTTTGAGAAAATATGCTTTTGGTAGAAAAGTCTATTGTGACCTTTTAGATTCATGTTGTTGTATACTCTTCTCAATAGCACAGTTTAAGAAATAAAACAGTCAGAGTCCTCAAGACTCAAGACCAACATAAGGGCTGGCCTGTGGTTCCATCCCCAGCACAATAACAAAAGAAAAAATACAAAACTCATTAAGAGGGTCATACATGCAAGAGAAAGTAACCTTTTTAAAAATTGGAAATATTAAGTGCTAACAAAGATGTTGAAAATTTTTCATATACAGGCATCTCTGAGTTTATTTACAGACGATGTCAATAAAGCAAATATTGCAATAAAATGAGTCTCATGACTTTTTTGGTTTCTCAGTGTATATGACACCATAACCTATTAAGTATGGAATAGTACTGTCTGAAATTTAATAATAAACTATTGCTCAAAAATTCTAACAATCATCTGAACTATTGGGGAAAAAAAGGCATCAATATACTTCTTCAAGCAGAATTGCCGCAAATTGTCAAATTGTAAAAAAAAAAAAAAAATCTGCAAAGTGCAACAAAATGAGGCATGTCCACATTGGGGGAAAGGGAGATAAAGGAGCACATAAATTGGTTCAGCCACTTTGGAAAATGTTGGCAGTATGCACTAAAGTTGAATATATTTATGCATTCTTAGGTATGTAGCTAATAGAAAATACTTACACAATAATGTTCATAATTGTACTACTAAACAAAAAAACAGCCCAATTGTCTAATAGCCATAAAACTGATTGATAAATTCTAGTATATTCATACAAGGAAATAACATACAAAAACAAGAGGTACTAGTACATGCAACAGTATGGATTAATCTCACAAATACACTGTCAAGCATAAAAAGATAGACATAAGAATACATATACCATTTCTTTTTTTTTTTTTTAATCAGTACCAAGGATCGAACTCACGACTGCCTGCTTGCAAGGCAGACGCTTATGCCACTGAGCTAAATCCCCAGCCCCTAACATTTCATTTCTATAGAGGCAAAATTCATAGCAGTGACAGAAGGGGAGGACATTACCTATGGGAAAAAGTGATGATGACTAGGAAAGAATAGAAGGGCCTCTGTAGTGTTGGTAATGGCTTACATTTCATACAGGTGGTAGTTACATGAGTACATTCACTTGAAAATTTATCAAGCTATACACGTAGGATTTGACTTTTCTATACTTAGAGGTTATATCTTATTAAAGAATTTATTTACAATTCAAAGGCATCGGAACACAAATCAGACTTACCCTGTTGGACTATTAGCAATCCTAACAACAATCAAAAGCAAAAGTTTTTTTAATATTATTCTTTAAATCTTATGTTAGTCTTAATATATTTCTCTTAATCTAGTAAGAAATATTTAAGGATTATATATAAGACATTCCTGATTCTTAGGATATTGGCCTTACAAGATCAAGCAAATTTATCAAGAATGAACGGGGCTGGGGATTTAGCTCAGCGTCATAAGCGCCTGCCTTGCAAGCAGGCAGTCGTGAGTTCGATCCCTGGTACCAATAAAAAGGGAAAAGACAAAAAAAAAAAAAAAATGAATGAATGAATATGGCTAATTAGATATTCTCTCAGCATACAAAAACTATAATTTATAAAATTCTAAAAGATAATTAATATTGGCCGCAAATAATATGCTTTATCTTCATCAAAAAATGTCAAGCCAGCAAAATGTCTCTACATATTAAAAGTCAAACCAAGAATTTTTTAAAAGTCCAAGGATTAGTGACCACCCTGGATTTTATTTATTTATTTATTTATTTATTTATTTATTATGCAAGGTATCAAACTCAGAACTTCACACTTACCAGGCAAGTGCTTGAGCTGCTGAGCTAAATCTCTGGCCTGGGTGTTATTTTAAATAATTCCAGCTGGGAGTCCAGCTGAGACAAGGAGACTGCAAATTCAAGTCCAACCTGAGCAACACAGTGACTCAACAAAATTCAGTCTCAAAACAAAAAAAGAAAAAAAAATTTTTTTTGGACACAGGTTGTTTTGTCTCACTATGTAGTACAGGTTGGTCTTAAACTCACTAAGTTAAGTCTTGTTGTCCTTTATTTCACAGCAATCCTCCTGCTTCAGCCTTCTAAGGGTTGGAATTACCAGTGTACATCAAAACAAAAAATTTTTAGAAAGGGCTGAAAATACAGCTTCCTGCAAAGGCCCTTAGGATTAATCCCCATTACAAGAAAAGAAAAAAAAAAGAATTCCAGCTGTGGCTCAGTTCAGTGGGGTGGCACCAAAAATAGACTAATTCCAGGCAGCACATACTAAGTTGGTATTACTTATCAACTTAGCAAGACCCAGTCTCAAAATTTAAAGGAAGAATATTAAAAAGGGTTGAGGACATAACTCAGTATGAAAGTCTTGGATTCAATCCCTAGTGTCAAATAATAATAATAATAATTTAATATTACTACAGAAAAAACTAGGTCAACTACATTTATCTAAATTAGACCATATAACAGTAATAACTAAGCCTCCAATTACACATACAAACAGACCCAAGAAAAATTTAATTTACTTTGGCAAATTGATGAACGGCCATTCCTTTCAGGTAGTGGTGTCCCAGGACTGCTGAAATGATGCGAAGTCTCTTGGTTTACATCGCTATGTGTAGAACTCTTTGAATGGCACGTACAACAGCATGACAGTGGTACCTCAGCTTTTTTATTTAAGCCTTCATCTACTGGCTTCCCTAAAAGTAAAAAAAGGCAGAGGCTCATTTATGTATTTACCTTTTTAATTTTTGGTACTGGGGATTGAACTCACAACCTCAAACTTACTAGGCAAGCACTTGAGCCACTGAGCTAAATCCCCAGCCCAAAGCTTATTTATAATACATCTAATTTAATAAGCATTGGTGTTTCTCTGTACCTAGGGTAAACAATCACCTCAGTTTACCCAGGTTTGAGATGTTTCCTAAGATGCAAGATTTTTAAAACTAAAACCAGAAAATTGCTACCCCTGCCAATGTGGGCAAGGTAGTTAATCTTCAAATAAGTACAGGACAGACATGCTTACACCAGAAACATTTAGAGAATATAATCAATCTGTATAATTTACAAAAGTCCAAAAAGGTTACTAATGCAATAAATGTTCAACTATTCATACTCATTTAAATAGAGATGAATTTAAAAATCAAGCTGGAAGACTTAAAGTATATTTTTAATTATTACTTCCCTAAATAAAGAACTTTAAATTTCAATATCATAAATAATAATATAAATACATAAGGATTACATTGTTCCCCACTTTATAGTTCATGTGTATGTTTGAAACGGGGTCTCGCTATATACTGTTCAGGCGGGCCCTGAACTTGCTTTTAGCCCAGGCTAGCCTCAACCAATCCTCCTGCCTCAGGCCACCACCCTCCCCACTGTTGCAATTACAGGTGTGTGAGAGTGACCACACCTGGCTTACGCTTCTATTTTACATAGAAATATTGTAAGATACATAAATTATATCAAAATACATTTTATGACCAATATTCAAGTTGAACCAAACATAATTTTGACACAAGTATATAGAATACAATATCTATATTACATACCCACACAGTGTACAAATTCTTAATTCATATACATTATGAAAGCTGAATTTGCTTTTTAAAAATATGATTGAGTGTATTTACTCCTTTATACTACATAGATATCACTAATTCTACTTTCCAAACATCTCCTATTAAAATTTTAAGTTATTAAAAAAATGTGGTAACATTTTAGGTAATTAACTAAATTACCTAATTTAGTTAATCTCAAGTTCCCCAAGACCAACACGAATAAAAATCAAAATGGACAATAAAAAGCCTATAAAATATTTATTATTTTAACGTAGTCTTATCAATAGTACCAACATTTCATACAGTGGTTGGGAGCCAGTGAGCTAAGGACAGGTCACACCTGCGAGTGAAAATCAGGACAGGGAGAGCCCAGAGGGCTGGGAGCACCTGAGAAACGCCCTGAGGGCATGGGGTGCGTGAGGCTTTCCAGCCCAGTGAATGAGAGAGGATGTATAAGAAGCCAGATAGTTAAGCAAAGGGGTGTGGTACGACAAGTACACAAACCCATTGCAGGGTTGAGCATTCTCTTCCTCTCATCCTCCACCTGACCTCAGCTTTCCGACTCTATCTTTATTTTCTTCATCCTCTGGTCATTCTTCCCCTCAAGAACTTAAGAGAGCTCTCGAGGACCCCAACAGTTAGCTTCAAATTCTTATACTTTAGGTCTAAGCTACCTACTTACATACCTAAAATGTATTCAGATTACTGTATTTCAGATTTAGTTTTTCATAAGTGTAAACATTAAATGATATTTGTTAACAAATATAGTAAAAGTAGTGGAAAATAACATGAATTCATACAAACACAGTCTTGCAATAGACTTCTTTATCTGGTATTCAAAAAAGTTGAAACAACAATTAGAATGTTTTCTTTCTTATATAGTCCATGTTCTTATAAGAGAGGGCCAGATAAACAAATATCCAAAGTACATCCAAAGGATGTCATTTTTAAAAATCAGCAATGAGTATATATATTTAGCACCACAACAGCCTCATCTCTTGCTTTTGGGGTTTTTTTGGTAGCGACGATTGAACCCAGAGCCCTCATACTGACCTACATCACCCACACTTTAGTCCTTTGAGACAGGGTCTTGCTACAATGGCCAGGCTGGCTTCAAACTTGCCATCCTTCTGCCTCATCTTCCCATGCCTCTGGGATGATAGGTGTGTGCCATCGTACCTGGTATCACATTTTTTTGAGACAGGGTGTCACCACATAGCTCAGGCTGTCCTTGAATTCACTATGTAGTCCATGCTGGCCTCGAACTCCTAGCAATCCTGCTGCCTCTGCCTCCCAAGAGCTGGGACTGCAGGCATGCACTACCATATCCAGCTCACTTGCATTTTTTACATATAAAGTATCATCTAACTGGTCATAACTATAAGCATCCAAAATGCCCAAAACACTTTCTGAATCATTAAATAAAAGACTAAACTACATTAACATTTTCTTAGAATTAAACATATTTTGCTGAATTGAAACTTTTGGAAATATGACATTAAAAAAACTAAGAATACTTACATTTGCTAGAATATAACCACTCATAAAAGTACTTTATTTTTTCAGATCCTAACAGGCAATCTGAAAATAACAAGCTACTACTCACCACTAAGAGACTGTTGCCATGCTAAAGCAGAACAAAGTAAGGCTAAGCTTTTTCCACTTCCAGTAGGGCTCTCCAACAGACAATGCTGCCTACTGTTCAATCCTCTGACAATCTATGGAGACAAGAACACAATTTAATAGAAAGTCAATAAACATTTTACCTTCTTAGATCTCTTTCCATCAGAAGTATAAACAAAATAGCAAGGCTGCACTCAAAGGAAACAACAATAATACAAGGAGAACTAGCATTTAGTTAAATCTAGATTTTATTGCTTTACACTTTACCCTAAGATTATGTTGGACTTCCAAGCCTATGAGACACAAGAGGTGCAATGAAAAACAATTTGGGCTTTACTTATACAATCACTTCTGTCAAACTGGAATGTACTGCCAGATAGAGTGGTGCATGCCTGTAATCCCAGCTATTCAAGAGGCTGAGGCAGGAGGACGGCAAATTACAAGCCAGCCTGGGCAATTTGGTGAGATCTTATGCCAAAATAAATAAAATAAAAAAGGCCTGGGGATATAACTCAGTACCCTTCAATGGAATCCCCAAAACTATAAAAGAAAAAGAATGAGGAAAGAAAGTAATTTTTAGTAAAGTTAAATATGACTACCCCAACCAAATCAAACACACATGTGTATTTTTTCCCTACATAAACACAAGGAAAAATGACCAAAATAAGTTCATAGCAGCATAGTTTGATAATTGCAAAAGAATATACATGAAATGCCTAACAATAAAAAAGAACACGTAAAATTCTTGTATTCATACTATGCTGCAAATGAAATACATTAACAATCAACAGAACTACATTTATAAATATAATGTTACGCAAAAAAAAAAAAGAAGAAAGTAGAGGAAGAAGAGGAAAACAAGGGGAATGGGTAGAAGATGAAGAAGGAAGAGAAAAAGGAGGTGGTGGCAGCCTGGAAGTGTAGCTCAGTGGTAGAACACTTGCCTAGAAAGTATGAGTCCCGGGATGGATCCCATACTACCAAAAAGAAACAAGGCAGGCATTGTGTCATGCCACTGTACTTTTTTTTGTTGTTGCTGCTACTACAGATTACAGTGCTCAGGACAGAGCCCAAGGCCTCCCACAATATGTATCTGGCAAGCACTCTACTCTGAAGGTACACCCCCAACCACTTTTATTTCTTTATTTTGAGATGGGTTCTAAGTTGCTTAGATTGCCTTCAAACTTGTAATCTTCCTGTCTCAGTCTTCCACGTCACTAAAGTAGTAAGCATGTACCACTGTGCCCAGCTCACTGCAAAAAGCTTAAACATATGTAAAATACCTTATATTGTTTATGGATACATATGTAATAAAAATATAAAAACATATTGAGAAACAAAAAGCAAATTCAGGATACTAATGTGATACGAAGTAAATCTGGCAAAATACTAAGATCTAACAAACTAGAAACTCCCTTTATGCAAATTTTTATACTAATTTTCATATGTTTCAAATAAATAGCTGTCTATATCCACAGATTTCTCATTTATGGATTAAACCAACCACAAGTCAATAATACTCAAACGAAAGAAAAACTTTGTACTTAACATGTACAGACTTTTCTTATCTTTATTCTCTAAACAATAGAGTAAAACAATTTACATAGCATTTCCATTGAATTTGGTATTATAAATAATCTAGAGATGATTTAAAGTGTATAGGAGGAAGGGAGGATATATACAGGTTATCTATAAATAGTGCACTGGACCTAGATATCTGCAAATTTTGATATCCAAGGTGAGCTCCTGGAACTAACTCCATACAAGTACTTAGGATTGACCATATTTAAAACAAAACAATGGTGAGAAATATAGTACTCTGTAAAAGATAGAAAATACTTTGTGGAACGTAGTAATTTGTTAAAACAAATAGAAGTTCCAAATGAACTGAAAACATTTTTCAATATCTTTTTTGCATCCTAACCATAGATATGTACAGTTAATAGTAATCAGCATTACTTTCTCAAAGCTTAGATATTCTTCTAAATGAAGCCTGCAAACAACCTTAATCCATTTACTGAGAATGTTATGGGTCATAGGTTTCTGTATCTCAATAAAGACTTAACTATTAAAAAATACTTACACAATTCATCATAGCAAGCTGTGATGGATAAGCTTTACAGGGAAAGTTAATCTTCACCCCACCGATTGTGTATTCAGAACACACTGATGACATCCTGCTTTCTTGCTTACTTAAGATTCCTAATGGCAATACAAATTAAAAACAATATTGAAATGAAGTCATTCAAAGAAAATCACCCCCAAAAGCAGGATGGAAGTCTGGAAATTACAACTGGAATAAACAGGACAAAGGGAAGCAAAAGAACTCGCTAGTCCTATAAATAGATCACAGGGAAGGAAAGTTCCTTCTAGAGTCTGCCAATCTGGATCTGCATCCCTATTCTGTCATGTATTCATTCTGTAACTCTGGGCAAGTTAATTTCCCTTTTTCTATACCTCACTGTCTTTATCCATAAAATAAGGATAGTGACACTACTCTGTAAGACTGTTGCAAAGATAAAACAAAAAGTGCAAAAATGACATAGTACAAGTCAGTTTCTGCATGAACTCCTATAATACCTTAGATCAGATATGATCACGCTACAGAAACAAATAGATTTCTAAGGCAACTGTCTCCATTTCCTTACACTACTTTTTTTTGTCCTAATCTGTGCCTTCCTGTCTCCCTTCCACAGTCTTGGAGTTAGAAGGGAAAACATGGGAACCAGCAGTCAACAGGTTTTGAAAGGTTCTCTGATATGTTGCCTTTGACATGTCTTTTCATTTCTTTGGTCTAAGAGCCTATTCTGTAATCATTTCTAATTTAAAAATTTCTGTAAGGAAAAACTACTTTGGAGCATAGTAGGTGCTCAATAATTCTTAGTGGTCAGTGAAGTACAGTGGAAAAGTTGATGGGTTTTGGAGTAAGGCAAATTCAACTTGAATCTTTCAGTGTAAATCACTTAACCTCTCAAATTTTGTTTCTTCATTGATGGAACTGAAATACTACTACTTAACTGACAGGGCTATGAAAATTTGCCAGGACACAATGAGTGTAACCTAATATCTGATATGTAAGTGATTTACTTTAACCTTCACCTCTTCTAAACCTAGAATTCATAGATGTAATTCACAAACCTTAATCTTTTAAAATTGCATGTGGAAGCTGGGCATTGTGGCATACATCTATAATTCTAGCACTCGTGAGGCTGAGGCAAGAGGATTGTCAAGAGTTTGAGACCAGCCTGGGCTACAAAGTGAGCTTAAGGCCACCCTGAACTGCACAGCAAGCCCTTGTCTCAAAAAAGACGATAAATAAATAAATAAATAAATAAATAGTATGTGGAAACTTGTGCACATGACTGAGTTTCTCTGAAGATAAAGTCCATAGATTTCTCTTCACATAATATATCCTAAGGATACCACAAAGGGGAGAAATGATACACACTAATTAACTGAGGAATTTCTGTAAAAAAAAAAAAATGATAAAAACTTGGGGATGGAGATGGTTAAAACAGCAATCCAGGGGCTGGAGATTTAGCTCAGCGGCATAAACGCTTGCCTTGCAAGCAGGCAGTGGTGAGTTCAATCCCCGGTACCGATAAAAAGGGAAAAGAAAAAAAAAAAAAAAACCAGCAATCCAAATTATTATGAAGCCAATAAATAATGTTGTTTTTTTTTTTTGGTCTTTTTCGTTTTTATCGGTACCGGGGATCGAACTCACGACTGGCTGCTTGCAAGGCAGGCGCTTATGCCGCTGAGCTAAATCCCCAGCCCCGCCAATCAATAATCTTAACCACAGTCTGTGTATTCCAAAAGAAGACCCCTATTTTGAGGATGTAGGCCAGTGCTAGAGATTGCCTAAGTCCCGAGTTCAATCCCCAGTCCCGCCAAAACTCTTTTTCTGGTATATTCCGTTCTAAAAGAGAACGTGAGGGGCCGGGGGTTTAGCTCAGCGGGGTAACTCAAGACTCGAGGTCTTGAGTTCAATCCCCGGAACAACAACAAAAAAAAATGTGTCCGTAAGAATGAGGTTTGGTGGGTTCTAACTGCTTAATCTGAATCAAGAACGCAAGACTGGGGGCTGGGGATTTAGCTCAGTGGCATAAGCGCCTGCCTGGCAAGCAAGCAGGCAGTCGTGAGTTCGATCCCTGGTACCGATAAACACACACCCACAAAAAAAAAAAAAAAAAAAAAAAAAAAAAAAAAAAAACCGCAAGGCTGACCTCCTCAGATACAACCTAGTAATCAACAATCCCTTCTGCGCCGCAGCCTTGGCAAAACAGACTCAAAACCTGGCAGGTTCCGCTTCGGCCCGAGCCCTCCCCTCGCCGCCGCCCCGCCCAGAGCCAGCGCAGGCGGGAAGGCAGGTTCGGCTCCCCCCTCCCGGGCTTACCGCCCTCCACTCCCGCGTCCCGCAGCCCGAGTCACCCGGTCGGGCCGGGCGGGAAGAGCGAAAGGCCTGCGCGGGCCACGCGAGCCGCGCGTCCTCCCTTCCCGGCCTGCCTCCCTCGGACTTGCCTGAGCTGACGGGAAACGACAAGCCTGGGCTCCGACTCAAAGGGAAAAAAGAAACTAACTTCTGAGAGCAAATAACTGACTTCTGAGTCCGGGTGCAGAAGAAAGGGCTCAAACCTTAGCCTTGTCACATTCTCCGCGAGGATGCGCTGCCTGTTACAGCCTTTTCCACCTCGCAACTCTCAGACTACACAGAGAATTCCCGCTCCCAGCCTTAGACTCCAAATATCCAATCGCCAAACGTGCTCATACAACCAATCACCGACCAAGGGAAGAAGGCAAGCAACCAACCCCTGCGATATGTTGCGGGGGGACGAGACCTCTAGAACCCAATAGGAGCCTCCGAAATAAGAACCAACCAAGGTACTTGACTCCGGAAAGCAATCACCGGTAGGGAGAGCGGCGAGGTTTGCTTAGGGGAAGTCTTCACCATTAGACTCTTGAAATGGTGACTTAACCCACGGAAGCATGTCTCTTTAGACCAACAAAGTGAGTGTATCTTGAAGCATTGCCTCGTTCTGAGGCATTTCCCAACTTTGCAGTGGCCGAAGTATCCGAAAAAAATTTGAGCCCAGAATTTCCGGTCTACTCAGCTAAACTAGCTGAGAAGTTTCTATAACACCTGGTACAATATTTCTTAATATTCAAAACTTTCCTAAATAGGGCTGGGGATTTAGCTCAGCGGCATAAGCGCCTGCCTTGCAAGCAGGCAGTCGTGAGTTCGATCCCTGGTACCGATAAAAATGAAAAAGAACAAAACAAAACAAAACAAAACTTTCCTAAATAATAGAATCAGCCAGTTGGTTGAAGTCTCCACCAACAGAATACTTCCAAGGATCATCTGCCATCAATTCCCTCTTAAACATTCCTTCATCAAGAACGCAATATTCTCAAAGGTAAAGGGGTTAAACATGACCTCGCCAAATTATGTAATTTGGATGGGGGTCAGGACCTTAAAATTCTGTATAGCCTAACCTTGACTCAAATACTAATGTCCCAAAAGGGCAAAACCTGGAACAGTTACTTAAATTCAAGAAACTGTAGAGAAGAGATTTACTGGGAGGAGGGAGCATAAGATTCATTGAATTATTTACTTCTCAGTTGTATTAAGACATTTTCCCAAAATGACAAAACTTGTCATAAAAATAAATTCTATCCTTTGATTTAGTAATCTCAGTCCCAGGATTTATACTAAAAACAAAATCTTATGGGGAAAAGTGCATACCCCTCAACCGACAATAATGCCTATTTGGAATACTTAAAAAACATATAAACTCTCCAGTTTGATATATTAATTCAATAGATTCGGAATCCAATAAAAGTATAAAAAAATTTACTTGCATAAAAAAACGTTGCATAAAATTAAACAGAAAAACAAGCTCAGTGTTAAGGTTAGGTGTTAGAAGGTGGACGTTAGAAATTCAGTAATGTGAAAATATGTATGACTAAGCAAAGATGAAGGGGTAATTTACTGTTTCAGTGAGATGAACGATAATTCATAAAGATAAATCCTTAAAAGCAACTCTGAATCATCATTTTGCTTTAACAAATTTTTGAAACATCAAATCTTTTAGCGAACTGCTACAGAGTAACTACTGTCAACTTCGGCATCTAAACTTCACTGGCTTTTCAATGGACTCCAGTTTCATTGGCATTGAATGCATGGCCTAACAGAAAGGAATACACGTGAGCCTAATATACCACACAGTCCAGGATTCCATGGCCTTGAACCGTTTCCTTCAAGTTAAGAGTCATGGAATGAAACACAAAAAAGCACAAGTTCATTTGATAAGAATATGAATGTTTATAAATCAATATTCAAAATAGCTGCACACATCTGTTTTCACTTGAATAAAAAAATCACATTGTGACAAATTTTATAATCTTAACTTAAAATACATGAATATTAACATTTACTAATATATTTACATGTTTTATTTACATCATCAACAAATCTGATGAAAAACAGCACATGTTGTTATTTTTACACAGCAGGTTTTAACCAGTCTTTGAAAATGGACCCAGGACGTATGTACTGAATTTAGTTAGAAACCTTGCTGCAACCTTTTCTGAAGGTGATACATATTCACACAAAATACTCCAAGGCCTCAGTTTAAAAATCAAACAAAACAGGAGCAGTTGTATTTAATCTTAAGATACTACAAAACTGCTTTATTTAAAAATATGAAAATTCTTATGGCATTTTAAGCATATTATTTTATTTTTCACATCGAAATTATTTAATTGAACCTTAAGCACGTAATAAAAAGTTATAAATATTCTATCACACATGATACTATGTACTTCATTATTGGAAACAGCTACAAACTAGTTTTTGTAGAATACCTTTATGAGGTAGGGCCAATAGGAACCCCATTTTACAAAGAAGAAAAACGAGATGTATATTTGCTAGTGAAAAGGCTGAAGTTAAATTTCTTTTCTTAGAAAACACGCTTATTTAATTAACTTGCCTAATTTCTTTTACAAGTGAAGTGAAGAGGTCTGTTTCAAGTGGGGAGAAAAGTGATTGATTGAGGTATATCTCAGAGAGAAAGAAGTACCTTCTGCACTAGATACTTAATTTGGGGGATGGAAATGAGGCTTATGGGTTACCTGAATGCATCCAGCCTAAACCATGGAAGTTACTACCAGAGGACTGCAAAATCCTTTTTAGCAAGACAGTATTTCCCACATTTTAATTTTTCCTGAGGTTCAAACACCATATGTATTTTTCTATCCAAAGATCTTCTCAAAGTAAAATATGAATTATCATCCTGATGATAAACCAAGAGCTCTTGAACCCAGTGGGCTTTATTGCTCTAAATTTCATTTAATTTGACACATATTCCACTCTCTGAGAATTAGATAAGTTAATAAAGCATTATAAAAATAAACTTTAAAAAATAAAATAAATGAGACTTCCTTTCAGGTTCTTCTTTGTTGTTCCTGTAAACACTTTTAAACTAGTATCTTAACTTCCAAATTATTCAAGTATCTCTTTAAATGTATGGCTTCATGTATTAGTAAAAGTTGAAGCAAATATGTGGTATCTATAAATCCTCACCTGTAATTCCATGGAAATCATATATAGAAGCTACTTGCCTTTTCTAAAAACCTTCTCGATACTGCTTCTTGAGAATTAGAATTCTAATCTACACCACTACTACTTGCATTGCAAGTCTTTGAAATTTCTATTGGGGTATTTAACTCCTCATTTTTCCTGAATTCACCCTTTCTGTGATCCTTTTCTGTCACTCTCATCATCCACCTTTATTATAAGCTCACAGTTAAATACTAGGGTTACCCATATGCCCATTTTTAGAAGAAACTAAAGGCATGGCAATCTTTCTCACTTCAAAAGCTAACTAGAAGGCCAAACTCCCTTTCCAGGAAGGAGTTCTTACATGTGCTCAGCTGCTACAATATACACATACCAGCAAAGTAGATCCAAAGACGTGCCAGTCAAATACAGGCAAGCATAATTCTCAGAGATTCTAAATTGTACTCATGTTGAATTGAGTCATTTCAGCAATTCTGAGACATCACTGTTCTCATTCAGTTTGGAGTTGACATAGGATACAGATTCATGTCAATTATATGCTGCAGACAGCATATTTTTTTGACTCAAATTTTTTTTAAATTCCACTAACACTCATATTTATTATTTCAATTATTGTGCTTTCAATACAATGGCAGAGCTGTACATCAGGATCCATGCTTGTAGTGTCCCTGGATCCATTTTTATTAGCTGGATCTTTACAGATTTGTGACCATCCGCTTGGCTTCTCCTTTATTTGTTGAAGACCTAAAAACATAAGGAAAAAAAAACAAAAGCAAGAACTCTGGAAAGAAATTCACTCATCTTAGACGTAGTAAGATCACTCTTGAAAATGAGTTTACCACTTACGTGTAATAATTGGATCAATGTCTCTTGTTTGAGTGGCAACATCAGAGGCACAAACTTGTCCTATCTGAATCAGTAAAGACATAATATCTTCATACAGTGGAGGAAATGCTCGGCAAAAAGAAACCAAACTTGGAAGAGTTGGCATAAAAAAAGCATACCGCTTAGCCTGTGTTAAAACTGTTAGAAAGAAATTAAACAGAATTTCTTACTTTACAAATACATATTGAACATAGGCAACTTATACAAGAAATAAAGCATCATGCTTTGCACTAGAAATCCTGTCTCTTAACACACTGCAAGCCCCGCCTTCAAGAGTCTACAGTTTGTCATCATCCAACAAACGAATTTTTATCATGCTCTAGTGCTATCCTAAGTGGGCTGCATGCATTATTCCACTTAACTCTCATCATTTCCAAAATGGTACCCATTTTACATCTGAATGTTAACTTTTAACTAAACTTGACATGTACGACACAGCCAGTTAATAGAGACTGAATTCAGGCAATATAAACTCTTAACCGCTATAGAAATTACAATGTGAGATGAATACAAAGGAAAGAAAAATGAATGTAGTATTATGAGAACATCAACAAAGAATACTAAATTAAGCGACAGCTTTAAAAGACTCAACTATAAAATAGCTTATCTCCCTACCATTTTACTCTACAAACCAAGAGATGGTTAAAATGTTAGCATATATGTTAGAACTTAAGGAAACTAGTATATTTACATCTTCTTTATATATGTATGATTATATTTTTTCTAGAGCTGAGCATTTATAATAGTAACTTGTTTTCTACTATCTAATTATATTCATAAAGTAAATATGGCTTTTATTTATAAGAATGTGATCTTAGGGGCTGGGGATTTAGCTCAGCAGCATAAGCGCCTGCCTTGCAAGCAAGCAGGCAGTCGTGAGTTTGATCCCTGGTACCGATAAAAAGGAAAAAGACGAAAAAAAAAAACAACAACAAAAAAGAATGTGATCTTATTATAGCTGCTGTAAGTCCATATCTATTCATTCACAAAATTAAAGATACCATTTACCTATCTGTTCATCTCTTCTACACTGTAAATCACATTTTACATAGAAGAATCTTCAAAGTAATAATTCCAAAAGATGACTTTAAGTTACATAGTAACATATATTGGATCATATTGTTTCATAGTAACACAAAACTGAGTCACTAAATTCAGAAAATAAATATATAGTAATTCATGCCAGAGGTTTTTGTTGTTGATTTTGTCTGGCTACACACCTGTTAGCAAAGTTCCCATTACATTGACAGCTAAGCGAGCCACACTAAGTGATTTTGGTAATGCATACTGGATACACAAGTGAGAAAGCAACTGGATAGCAAATATCTGTAAGAGAGAATCCAAAAGTTACATATTTCTCAAGAAAATATTACACTTTAAAAATTGTAAGAATTTTTATATAACTAGCAACACTACAGAGAGAGCTGGAAATTGTTCATTTGTTTTGTTTGGGGACAGGGTCTCACTATTTATTGAAGCCAAGCTTGAAATCACTATGTATCCCAGACCAGCCTCCAACTTGCAATCCGCCCACCTCCCAACTAGCCCAGACTCTCAGCATTTTTTCTTAAAGTTCCAAAACATTCATTACCTGTTTTTCAAGTTCTGGCTGTGCAATAAGCTCAGGTATAAAATCCAAACAAATATGCATAGACGGAATACCTGCGACTGTCAGAGGCAAGAGTTCACATGGATAACCCTACCTCGACAAGAAAGGGGGAAAACGTTAGAAATAAAACAAGTTAAATAAACACAGGTAAAACATAAAAGAAAGTTTCACTTCCTTTTTGTGAAAGTTGTTTAGGGTACTACATTTCCCTATACGTATTCTGGCATTTCACTATGTTGATATACTAGAATAGAGAGAAATTATTTGAATACTTCATTAAGTTGGGAAAAAAACCTAAAATTTGGATAGTTTTCCATATTATAAAAGAACATGACTATTTGTATTACAGTATCTCTAACTTCTACATGACCATGATCATGTTAATTAACCTCTGAGAAAAATAAACTATAAAGAAATATTCTTTGAAGCCATACCTGAAAGTGAACAAGTTTAGCAATGTTGGGATCTGCAATATACATTTGATGCAATAGACAACAGATAAGGCACTGAACTTCCCGAAGGTTACAGAGCAGATTGTCTTCGCTTTCCTCCATGTCCTTACTCGGACTACTGCTGGTGATGACACTCTGAGAGTTTCTGGACAAGCTATCTGGATTGACACTCTTGGCTTTCTCCTCTTCCGTAGGTAAACAAATCTCTAAGAGAATCTGGACAGCAGCACTGTCCTACAAGCAAAGCAAACAGTAAGATGTTTCTGAGAAGTTGGTTGGAAAATCAAACCTAATTTCTTCCACGTGAACAGAAATGGCAGAATAACGTTTCTTTTAAAAACACACACAGTGTAGCAACTCTTAGAGCAAAAGTAAGCAATTTATAAAGCAATGGTCATGAATGCCTTACAAATCTAGATAAAACCCTCTTTTTTTTTTTGAGACAGGGTCTCGTGCCATGCAGTTCAGGCTGGCCTTGAGCTCACTTTGTAGCCCAGGCTGGTCTCGAACTTGCAACGATCCTCCTGCCTCAGCCTCCCAGGTGTTGGGATTTCAGGCATGAGCCACCACGCACGGCTGATAAAACCCTCTTTCCAAAAAAATCATTTCAGAGAAGGCATATGTATCAAAGGCAGAACCACAGGCTCCAGTTTAAAACCATCTACTAGAGGGGCTGGGGATTTAGCTCAGCGGCATAAGCACCTGCCTTGCAAGCAGGCAGTCGTGAGTTCGATCTCTCGTACCGATAAAAACGAAAAAGACAAAAAAAACCATCTACTAGAAGGATAATCTTATTCAGTGGCATCCAAAATAGGCCCTAAGGCAAAACAACTTCTACCAGGATTCCCTTCCTCTTAATCTAACTTCCTAGATCTTGTGTTTCCACCTTTTTCCTATTGGGTCACCAACTAGTTAATTCTTTTGAAGGTAGTGGGTAACAGTTAGTGCCTTCCCATACCGCTTTTCCTTTTCAACCTGAAGTCAGGCTCTTTAAAGGCCTTAGTTTTGCAAGGACAGATTCTATCTCACTACCCAATCCACTTGCACAATTCACTGTAGCTCAGTGTATAGTCTGAATATCATTTCACTGAAGAGTAGTTTTTGTTTTTTTTTTTTGAAGAGTAGTTTTTAAAACATGACCTATTCGGGCCGCTATATCTGAAGGAAAACTAAAATCAATCTCATCTAGTAAAAGGCATTAGAGAGAAAGAAGTCAGGCATGGTGGAGCGTGCCTGTAATCCCAGCGCTTGAGAGGCTGAGACAGGAGACTGAAAATTCGAGATCAGCCTAGGCTACAAAGTGAGCCCTAGGGCCAGCCTGAACTGCACAGCAAGACCCTGTCTCACAGAGACAAAAAACTAAAAAAAGAAATAAAAAAGAGAAAGAATATATGACATGTATCTCTATAGACAGCTAGCCATTGACTGGGGCAGAAAACAATTACATGGTAGAAATGTTTAAGAATGTGATGATTGCAAAATTAGGTTAGCTTTTCTTTACAACAAAAGGTAGCCTTTCTTGGGGCTGAAGATTTAGCTCAGCGGCATAAGCACCTGCTTGGCAAGCGTGAGGTTGTGAGTTCGATCCCCGGTACCAAAACAAACAAAAAAGCTATTCTTTACCACCTGTGCTTGAGGTTGACTGTTTTTGGGTAATGGTTTTGTTTTGTTGTGTTTTGTTTTGTTTTGTTTTGTTTTTTGGTTGTTTGCTTTGTGTAATGGTTGATACATTGTGTCAACTTCAAACGTCTAAAAGTTTACCTAAGTAACTTAACAGCTCTACATTCTGGGGGTGTGGAGAACATGCCTTTAGCCCTCTAGGATGTTGTTCATTGTGTCAACTTGAAAAATTTAGAAGTTCAACTAAGCAATTCAGCAGAGGGTCAAGGTCTTTACTTTGTAAGCATTCTCAGCCTACCAAGAGGAGGGCATACAGATAATATGGGTGTCAAGGACCCCTACCCTCAAGGGCAGGCAGCCTACATACAATAAGGGGCAAATGAGGAAGGCATGATTGCTGGTTCTTCAGAGGAGCTCCGGCCTAGAGCTTGGACGTCATGCAATGGCATCTGGTGTAGACGGTTCAGCTTTTACTTGGGACTCTTCAGCTTCCTGGCATAGATTCTTCAGTATTCTGTCACAGACCCATTAGCCTGGTGAGACAGACTTGCACAGAAGACTACACTGAGTTCCAAACCTTGGGCTGGACTCTTTAGCCTCTAGCAGAAAGATAACCTCTGTAGGCTTCTTTATCCAAGTCTGTGGCTGACCATCATAAGCCTATCTTGTAATTTCTTATACAGTTGTATATCTTATGTTATATATGTTTCTCTAGTAAAACCTAATTGATACAGATTTTAGGACCAGGAGTGGGATATTTTGTCCCAGCAACAAGAGAAAAGTAATCATGACAGAATTTGGTACCAGGAGTGTGGTAAGGTACTTCAAAAGGTTGTATATGCTTTGAATCAGCACCCACTATATGGTACTGTGTCTTCCAGTGTGAAGATTCATGGGTCTAGGAATCAAGGGGTAGGATTATGAATGGTATCACTCACAATTATCCCTAGTGATCCAGACAGGATAAGGTTTACACCAAAAAGCAAAACAATGATTCCATTGAACTGGAAGATAAGACTTCCCCCTGGTCATTTTGGTCTCCTCATGTCTCAGAGGAAACAAGCTAAAAATCAAGTCACAGGGTTGTCAGGGGTGACTGCCCCAGACTGTCAAGAGGAAATTGGACTACTACACCACAATGGAGGAAAGGAAGCTTTTCTTTGCAAGAAAAGTTAGCCTGTCTTTACAACATGTGCTTAAGGCTGACTGGTTCTGAGTAGTGGTTTTGTTTTGGGTGTTTGGTTTGGTTTGGTTTGGTTTGGTTGCTTGCTTTGTTTTAATTGGTTTTATTTGCAGGCTATGGAGGCAGACTACACAGCATGATTTCTAACTCTGACAGTACTAAACTGTAACCTTGAGCAAACAACCTTTCTGAGTCTCATTTTCCAAATTACCAAAATGTAGGTGGATAATAACCATGCCTCGCAGGTTGGTTGTAAAAATTAAATGAGTTAATATATGTAAAAACTGAGACTGGCACCTATGTTGTAACTTACCCATGTAGTAAGCTACATGAAGGTGTTAACTATGGTATGATCCTTATCCTAATTCATAGGGAAAGATTTACTTATTTTTGGCACCAGAAAATGAACTCACAACCTTCTGCTTTTCAAGCAGGCATTGTGCCACTGAGTTATATCCCAGGCCCCAAGACTTCTTTTGCTTTTTTTTTGTTTGTTTGTTTTTTGAAACAGGCTCCTGCTATACAATTCAGGATGGCTTTGAACCCAAAGCAATCCTCCTGCCTGAACTTCCCAAGTATTGGAATTAGAAATGTGCACCACTACACCAAGGAAAAGTTTTACTTAAGAACTCAGGTTTTTTCCCCCCTGAAGTACTGGGAATTGAACCTAGGGCCCTGTGCTGCTTCTGTTATAGGGCCTCACTAAGTTTCCAAGGCTGAACTGAAACTCATGATGCACTTCTTCAGTCTCCCAAGTAGCTGGGATTGTAGACATGTAACAACACACCTGGCCAGAATTTTTTTTATGTAAGTCTTATATAACATTCTCAGCAGAAAATGGGGCAGCAAACACATTAAGACCAAACATATTAATATTTATATTACATGAGATAAAGACCATAAATAGTGTTAATCAATGTAGGTCAAATTTTCTCATGAAATGAGTTCCCATCACGTCGGGGGTTTTTCTGCTAACTAACTTATAAAAGAAATGCCTCACTATCATAGCTTTTTTGAGTTTCCGTACTATAGGTTAGGGTTTGTGGACTGGAATTACTACTCCTAGTTTTCCTACCACCAATGAGATTTCAGAAAATATATTTCAAACTAAAAAAAAACTTTCTGAGGAACTCAAACTATTTAATATTTTATCATCTCACATCTGCTACCATTATTCAAAAATGACTATCTGGGGCTGGGGATTTAGCTCAGCAGCATAAGTGCCTGCCTTGCAAGCAGGCAGTCGTGAGTTCGATCCCCGGTACCGATAAAAAAGGAAAAAGACAAAAAAAAAAAAAAAAAAGACTACCTAAGGTTTAGTGAAATTTATAACCTAAGATTATAAAACTTTCTAAATATAAAGCTGAACTGCTTAGACTATCCCAGTATTTATTATTGTATACTTCTGGTTTTGCTGTTTACTGTCAGTCTCCAACATTTGACTTCCTTTCTACCATCTGATCTTAAGAAATAACAAAGGATTTTTCTTTTTCACCACTGTTTCTCCAGTCCCTAGAATACTATTTGGCACCTAAGTGTCCAATAAATATATGTTGACTTAGTAAAGATATAACTGTAACTTAAGAACAGTTAAAGCCTTAAATTTGGTTAAAATATATGTCTTATTTAAGTCAACATTAAATTTACATTGTGAGGCTGGGCTCACAGACATGTAACAACAGGGCTGTAGTGTGGCTCACTGGTAGAGCTCTTGCCTTGCATGCACAAGGCCCTGGGTTCAATTCCCAGCACCAAGAAACAAATAATATTAATTAGTTAAATCATGTCATTGTGAAGCTTATTCCTGATTTTGGTAAGATAGTCCATATAATAATCAGCCCAGAGGTAACTTTATCATCACTGATTCTGATGTCAGGAATGCACAGAATATCACAGCACAGCAGGCAAAATGTGCCATCTATTTCCGTAATTATATTAATAGGAAGACCCTGCCCATCTTACTAAATTTTATGCTAGCAAACTGTACCTGAGCAGCCAATAATGCATTTTTCAGTTCTTCTCTGGTAACTTCTGGGGCATCAGTTTGTCCAACTAAACCTACTGTATTATTCTGAGAAGGCCTATCTTGCTCTGCTGTTTCCTTCAAATGAGCACTGAGGTAAGCTTTAGATGCAAGAAGATATCCATTCAACATGTGTAGAGTAATATCCATCAAGGGGGGACATCTAAAAAAAAAGATATATAGAAAGAATGCAAATGTATGTCAGAACATGATCAATTCAGTTAAACAGAAAAACCTAAGTATCACAGAGTGGTAAATTTTCCCAGTGAACGTCTATCCTTGGTATTGACTGACAGCTTTGTTTTGCCATATTTGACTGTATTCTTCCCCCCCCCCCCCAAAGAAAGTAATAAGCACTAAGGAGTAATAAAATCCAAGATGTGTAAATTTTGTTGTAAAAAAGAGAGGGAAAAAAAAAAAAAAAAAGAAAAGGAGCTCTAACGGATATAATAGCAAGTGTGTTTGGGGGTGTTAAATAGCTGACTTTATCAATGTTTTTGGAACATTGAACACAGCTGTTTGCAGTCTCCCTGTTTGAATGTCCACCTTGTGTTCTTTGATACTGTGATTTGAGGAACTATTTTCAAGAAAATAGTGTGTAATCTACTAGCAGGTAATTTCTTACTGTTATGGTTTTTTGTTTTGTTTTGTTTTGTAGTTCTGTATTGCGTGTACCCTTACGCCGCTTTGGTTTGTTTTGTGTTTTTCTCTTTTTCCTCTTAAATAAAAAAAAAAAAAAAAAAAAAAAAAATTTCCCAGTGAAATATTATTCTCAATATAAAACCCCTTTTTTGCAGAAAGTGATATTCCCCATAAAACTCTGAGACATAAGCTTGCAAAGCTGCTGTCAAAGAGGCATATTCTGTCTGGGGAAGATGAAGGCTAGAAGAAATTACTTATCTTCTCCTGTTTCTTTTTTGAAGCAAGAAAACAAGACAAGTCTGTTTTCAGAAAGCAGTTCATCTCCTTAACCTGGGAAAGTTATTTACTAAGCCTTAGTCTCCTCATCTATAAAACAGGTACATGGTTATTCATTCCTCAAAGATTGTTGTTGATTAAACGTAAATGAAATAAAAGTAGAAAAAGAAAACAGCAACAACAACAACAAAAAGATAAATTAGCAACCACTAGAATTTTAAATGCCAAGGTTATTGGAAAAAAAACAGAGGCTCCATTTCTCAGTCTGCATCACAGAGAAAACTAACGTGTGCACCTTCACAGGTAACAAAGATGGGTTTACAGTGGAAACACAGAACCACCTAACTGTCCACCTACGTGTCAATGCCTCAACTGTAGCAACTGGAGGAAGAGTTTTCCAAATAGAAAATAAGAATTATCGGGCGTTTAGCTCAGCGGCATTAAGTGCCTGCCTTGCAAGTGTGCGGTCGTGAGTTTGATCCCTGGTACCGATGAAAAGGAAAAGGACAAAAAAAAAAAAAAGAAAAGAAAAGAAGAATTATCTTCCCAAAATTTAAGAATCACTTCTTTTAAAAAATCTAAACACTCAAACTAGGTGGGCATGGTGGCACACACCTGTAATCCCAACACTGGGGAGGCTAAGGCAGAAGGATCACTGCAAATTTCAGGCCAGCCTGAGCTACATAGTGAGTTTAAGGGCAGCCTGGACTACATATGAGACTATGTTTCAAAAAAAAACAAAAAACAAAAAACCTCAAGTTCCAACCCACACATTCTCACAGCTTCTAGAGCACATCCTGGTAATCCACATGGGGACGACTACCATGCAGCAATTAACACAGATAAGGTAGAACTATACCTAACTAACATGGAAAACATACTAAGAACAGAATTTGTTTTTTGGCTTGGTTTGGTTTGGTTGGTTTGGTTTTTTGAGATAGGGTCTCACTATGTAGTCCAAGCTGGCCTTGAATTCACTATGTACGTCAGGGTAGCCTCAAACTCATGGCAATCCTCCTGTCTCAGCCTCCTGAGTGCTAGGATTACATCATGCCAGAGTTGAAAGTATTTTTTAAAAGACTAAAACAATGCCTACAATATTATTAGGTTCCTTTAAAACCATCTGAAATATATTCTACATATATATATAATATATATATAATATATATTATATATATATAACTAAGTACACAGAAAAGTAAACTACATATCAACATTCTAACAAGTTTGCTCTGGAGCTAAAACTGAGATTGCTCAAAAAAAAAAAAAAAATCAAGAAAGGGATGTAGCTCAGTGGCACAGCGCCTGCCTGGCAATCACAAGGTTCTGAGTTTGATTCCCAGTACCAAAAAAAAAAAAAAAAAAAAAGAATGTGGCTTTTCTCGTTAATCTTGCATTTTATTAAGGTGCACTTATTAATATGTAGTGTGGGAATTTGGATGCATACCCAGAAGAGGAAACGGCACAATAAATCCCTAAGAGCTCCTCACCTAGCTCCAATGGTCCCAACCCACTTTCCTACACTGCCACCAGGTCCTGTCACACCTTTTATATATTTATACCTTTATAGTGTGTGATGTTTTAAACTGTGACAATGTTAACTTAAAAATAAATATTAAAAAGTGAAAAAGGAAAAATAAAAAAAGCAACAAGAAATAAAACTACCATGTTGCGGGGGTAGTGATACATCATCCTCAGGAGGCTGAGGCAGGAGCATCTTTGTAACCTAGGCTACAAATTGAGCTCAGGCCCACCCTGACCTGCAGAGTAAGACCCTCCCTGTCTCAAAACAAAACACCAAAAAAAAAAAAAAAAAAAAGAGAGAGAGAGAGAAAAAACTATAGTGCTGGGAACGTGGCTCAATGGAAGGGCATATACTTAACATGTTCAAGGCCCTACATTCAATTACCAGCACCTCAGCCCACAATAAAGGACAGAATTTCAATTAAAAAAAGACATGATATCACTTGCAGATGAAGAGCTCTTTAAGAAACAAAAAAGCTAACAAAATGTTAAATGCTGTACATAGTGACACACACCTACAATACCACCAGGTATTATAAAGGATTATAATCAGTTCAAGGTCAGCCTGGGCTATAATAGTGAATTTAAGGCCAACCCTGAACTACAGAGCAAAACTCTGTCTCAAAAAGCAAAACAAAAACAAAAAAAAAAGCTATGTTAAAATATAAAAAAGAAATACCAATTGCTGCCTAGCGTGGTGGCACATGCCTGTCATCCCAACATGCAGGAGGCTGAGGCAGAAAGATCACCACAAGTTTGAAGCCAGCCTAGGCTACACAGTGAATTCAAGGCCAGCTTCAACTACATCCCAAAACCCTGTCTCGAGGAAAAAAAAAAAAAAAAGGAACTGAGCCATGTTGGGAGCCGCCGACACCGGTCGCCTTACTTGGCGGACATAGGGCCTGTGGGTGGGAGCGGAGCCTGAGCTAGATTGCCCCTCCCATCGAGTGAGTCAAGTTGGCGCCTGCTTCCTGCCCCCTGATTGCGCTGGCGACTTAAACAACCCGCTCTGTAAGATAGTCTGCCTAGCAACAACTGATGTTAGCCAATCAGCCCGCATCGCGCGCTTTGAACTGATTGGCCACTGTCACCCTATAAAAGTGAATGCCTCTCCCGCCACGAGACAGGAAGCACAGAGAAAGCACAGAGAGAGATAGAGAAAGTCCACCGGCGAGAAAGGGCTGGTGGCAGAGTGGAGGCCTCGCGGGGCCCACGCGGAGATAAATAAAGGCAAGGTTGCACACCGCCAGACTTTGTCGTGTGTCTTTCCTGCCGGCCGGGAGCGACCCCGACAGAGCCACATGAGTGGTGGCTCATGCCGGTAATCCCAGCACTCAGGGAGGCTGAGACAGGAGGATCCGTTTCGAGTTCCAGACCAGCCTGGGCTACAAAGTGAGCTCAAGGCCAGCCTGAACTGCATAGTGAGACCTTGTCTCAAAAAGACAAAAAAAGGAACTGTAACTCATACCATGTGCTTCCTGGTGAGCACATGGTGTGAGTTTGAGCCCTGGTACCAAAAAAGAAAAAAAAATTATCTATAACCAGTAAGTATATTAAAATGTTCAGACAGGCACGGTGGCACACACATGTAATCCTGAAGCAGGAGAATTGCCATGAGTTCAAAGCCAGTTTAAACTATATAGCAAGACCCTATCTCCAAAAAATAAAATAAAATGTTCAGTCTAACAAGTATATTAATTAAAATAGGAAGGCATCCTTCATATTTACTATATAGAATAATTCAAGAAGGTGCAAGAAAGTGTACAATATCAAATATTGCTATGGAATGTAAACTGGCTAAGTCTTTCTAGATGACAGAATTAAAAGCTTTGAAAATAACCAGGCAGGCCAGGGATATAGCTCAGTGGCACAGCACTTGCCTGGGCAAGTGCAAGGTCCTGGGCTCAATTCCCGGTAAAAAAAAAAAAAAGAAAAGAATATAGCCAGGTATACACACCTGAAATCCTAGTACTCTGAGAGGCTCATGCAGGAAAATCATAAATTTGAGCACAGTCTGGGCAATTTAGACCCTGTTCTCAATAATTAAACAAAAAATGAAAAACAAGGGGTAGGGATATAGCTTAGTACAAAGGCCCTGGTTCAACCCCTAATACCACAAAAAATTAATTAATTAATTAAATAGAATACCCAGCAATAAATAACACAGTGGGGAAGCATAGCACTTTGATAAAATGAAATACTATGTAATCAATAAACATAAGAAACAAATATATTAATATCAGAAAAGTTTCACAAGTGGTAAATCCAATTTTAGTACATGTGCAGCCAAAGGGAGACAAAGTGCTATGTCCAAACTATAAAAACACTGCACACATTTTGAAAGCATAATTTTATAATTCCCCTGAACTAAACCATCTGGTGTGATCCATTCAATGGAAGTCACCTACATAAGTGGATTTTAACACTGATAAATCATTTATTTTAGAAGTGCTGCTTTTCAGCCATGCACTGAAACAGCATATTTGTAGCTATAGCTACTGGGACAGCTGAGGCAGGAGGATCACAAGTTCAAGGCCAGCCTAGGTAATGAGGCCAGACTCTCTCAAAATTAAAAAGAAACAGAAATAGGGGTTAGTGACCGTGTTTGCCTAGCTTGTGTGAGGTCCGGCGCTTGTCCCCCAGTATTGGCAACAGAAACAAAAGTACCTCTTTTCTATAAGTATTATTTACCATGCTTTTCTTCTTAGTAGATACTTAACATGATTTGTACTATTTATTCTTTTGATTCATATTTCCTGTGTAAGTCTGATCTCCCCGAAGCACACTAAGCTGATTTAGCAGGTTTTGTCACTTCTACATCATCCCTTTGGTTAAGTACACAGTGTGTATCGACTTGGTCTTCATTCCTTAGTTTCTCTGCTGTAGCCAATCTAGCATATAGCTTCTTTCCCCAAATCACCACCTAATGATCTAGCATCTGCATAATCTGACTTCATTCTAACTTTCCCAAAAACTAACCTTCTGCTGCAAGCCTTAGATGCTTCTATCTCTTTGCTCATGTTCAAAATACCTTCTCAAATACTTTCACAGACACACTGAACTCTATTGATATATTATCTGTCTATCTAAACACTAGGCCCATCCTTTAAAACACCCAGGTCCCATATCTTTGTTGAGCTTTTACCAGCACTCGTTACTTCGCCATTCATCTGCATGTAGCCATATTATTTACCTTTTCATTATGTCCTCTTTCCCCATGCAGTTAACAATCATGTTAAAGGCAGTCCCCTCAACTTTATACCTTTGATGTAATTTATCACAACCAGAAGTAACATGGTATCGGGGGAATGCCTGTATTCCTGCATTTGGGAAGCCAAGGCAGGACTGTGATTTCAAGATATCTTAAGCCAATCAGGAGTTTGAGACTGGCCTGGGCTACATGGTGAGATCCTGTCTTAAAAAAAATTAAAGAAAAACCACCAACTAGAAATTCAAAATTAATGACTTGAAGTAAAATCACTTCAACATATCTGACAAAGAATTTGAAGCAATGTAGATCAGTGAAGCTAATATCATAACTGTTGAAGATACAAGCCAGGGATGGTGGTACACACCTGTAATCCCAGCACTTGGGCGGCTGAGGCAGGGAGTTCAAGGCCACCGTAGGCTACATAGTGAGTTCAAGCCCAGCCTAAACTACACAGCAAGACCCTGTCTCAAAAATCAAAACACAAAAGAAAATAAAACAAAAAATTTTGAAGACACAGTTACAGTTTTAAGGTATCTAACAGTTCAAAATGAGCCAGCATTTTAAAACCTTTTTTTCAACATGCTAATAGAAAGTGTTATTCTTTACCAGTCCTCACTCAGAAAAAAGAGCCACTACTCATGGTTAACAAAACCAAAACTTACATTCACAGGACTTTACTTATTAACTACATACATGTTGAATATATTTTTTAACCACATGTCAAATATTAAACTGAAGATATAATTCATGAATATAAACAACTCAAGAAAAAAGACACATAGGTCATACTGCCTAGTTATTGCAAGAACATTAAGATACAAACGGAATTTCTTCAAATTCTTTTCACTCTCTAGAGTGAAACTCAGGTGATACATACCTGTAAACCCTCTGATCACACCTTAGGACAATGAGGGGATCGATCATCAGGTCATTCTGGGTATACTTTTGTTGTCGTACAAACTTTATGGAAGGTTGAAGGGCATTAACTGTCATTACCCACAGCCTGATGAAAAATTAATCACAATGAGCAATGATGATAGACAACATAATGACCTCAATCACAGTCAGCTACAAGTAATACACATAAGAACGTATTTTTAAAGCACTTTCTCAAATTAAAAGTAAGTTTCTAGATCTTAAAGTGCATTCTTTTTCTTAAAGATGTAACAACTTGTCCATCAGCAGTCTTCAGGAAGGAATTATATTGTCACATATCCAATGTAAGTGGTGTTGTGAAATTTTTTTTTTCAACAATCAAGTTTTGATTACTGTATATTAATGCTGTTACACACTGTTGCACATATCAATGCACAGTGAATTTACCTTCTAGGCATCACAGTATTAAGAACCATCCATAACTTATTGACTGTTTGAAGAATCCTCCGTGGAACCCCTGAATTCAACAGCTGGCTCATATTGGATGTCAATACTTCTGCATATGGTATAAGTTCACTGGCAGAGATTAGAGTCAAGTGTTCTATAATCTGCATCACTTGTGTGTGATTTACTGGGACAGCTGAAAATGCTAAAAAAAAAAAAAAATTGGCAGTCATAATTTGAAGCTTGCCAAGCAAGAAATCTTACTGCTCTCTTATCCTACTGGCCCAACAAATCAAGAAAACAATTTTACTAAAAAGTAAAACTTTCATACATAGCCAGTTCTGATTAAACCTAAAATAAGAGCCTTCAGAAAAATTCTTGGAAGTACAGTTACTGCAAGTATTATTTCTATAGAACAGCAACAACAAAAACTCACTTTAAACATATTAGTAGCCAGGTATGGTGGCACATGCCTGTAATTCCAGCACTCAGGAGGCTGAGGCAGGAGGACTGCTGTGAATTCAAGGCCAGTGTGGGCTATACAGTGAGTTCAAGACTAGCCTGAACTACATAGTGAGACCCTGTCTCAACATAAAACAAGAACATTTAGTGACCCAAAGACTTATCTCATTTTCATGGGTGATTCAGATTGCTTTTATAAGCAGTAGTGATTTAGAAAAACAGACCATAGTATTGCGCCTGTTAATATTCATACAAAAGCTTCAAACTTTTTGGCTCCTTTACAGTATTTAAGCATCCAGCAGATTGCTGTTACTAAAACTATCTAGTCCTGTCCTTCTCACATAGAGTACTCACTAACCACATCAGCCTTGTAAGCACCTGAGATACAGCTAGTCCAAACCAAAGTATGAGATAAGTATAAAACACATGGCAGAGAGCTGGGGATTTAGCTCAGCGGCATAAGTGCCCGCCTTGCAAGCAGGCAGTCGTGAGTTTGATCTCTAGTACCGATTAAAAAAAAAAAAAACTAAGGAAAAAAAACACATGGCAGAAAAAGTTAATGTGGGTTTGAAAAAAAAAGGAAACTGATTGATAATCTTACATTGATTATATGAAATAATGTATTGGAAGCATATGGTTAAATAAAACAAATACTAAAATTATTTTTGAAGCTACTTCCTCCCTGTCTGAGAACAGGCAGCTGACATGAGTGATGGAGGAGTCACCCATACCAGGAAGCTCATGGGAAAGAAACAGTATCTAAAACAAAAGTTCAAGGCGAACATGGTGGTGCACACCTGCAATCCCAGCATTCAGGAGGCTGAGGCAAGAGGATCAACGCAAGTTCAATGCCACCCTGAGCTACACAGTGAACTTAAGACCAGCCTGAACTGCTTAGTGAAACCTGTCTCAAAAAATAAAACAGAAATTCAGGAAAAAATAGCCAAAATTGACAAGACCACACCACATCTCCTCTCTATGTCTGGGTTTGGAATCCACGTTCATAGTGTAAGACAGCCGGGCTTGGTATAAATTACAATCTCTTAGGTTTTGTAAGGAAAAATACACTCAAACATAGACTTGAAAGGACTGTATGAGAAGAAAAAAACCTCAATGTAACAGTGAAGAAATGCAGGAGCAGAAAGAAGAAAGTTGGGGGTTTCGGGAAGGTGGCAAGGGCCAACGTCAGTCAGCACTGGCAAAACAGAGTCAAGATTCTACAGTGTCATTAACATGCAGTGATTGTACAAACTTTTCACAAGGAGATTAATAAGCCATAAAAGTATTTTAAGAATTAATATTGCCTAGTTGAATCCATGGCTTCATCCATGTTAGACAAGCGCTTACTCTGGCTATAGCCCCAGCTTTCCTTTTAACTTTCAGACAGGGACACTAGAAAGTTTATACAGTGTGACCTGCATTATTTCCACTTTTTTCACAGTGCTGATCTGGAACACTATCTATTAACAGCAAGTATATTGCCTTATTTCACAGCATTTATTTCTAAACATTTAGGACTTTTCTAAAATCATACCATTTTTTACAGTTATATGATATGAAGGAAAAGATTCAAGCATGTCAGTTTGATTCCTAGCACTGCAAGAGAAAAACATGAATACACTTAAAAGAAATGGTTATGGGCCGGGGATATATAGCTCAGCAGCATAAGTACCTGCCTGCCTGGCAAGCACAAGGTCCTGAATGTGATTCCCAGTACCAAAAAAAAAGTTAAAAGTTCCTAAACTCAAAAAGAAATTACTTAAAATACTTAAAAGAAATTCACCAAAACACTAATATACGCCCAGGAAAATTCTGCATGACTCTAAGATTTCAATTAGCTTAGCATCTCCTTGTATTGCTAACAGGGTGAGAGGATGATCAATTTACTATACCTTCTTGAAGCTGTTTAGGAGAGTGGATTTTCGCATTATTAGTCAGCAGCATTCGCCTTAACAGGGCATCGGTCCCTGTGATTTCTTCTTCACAGATCCAGTCATCCACAATACACAGATGTGGGTAGTTAGTTGCAAGGAGACGCAGTAAAGCTGAATGCAACCCTTGAAAATTAACAGCAAGTCAATTAGATTCTCCATTCTTGAAAAACAGAAGATTCCCTACCTTCATTTGCAGGAAGCCAACAGCCAGAAGAAAAAGTTATGCTCTAAACCAGTGTTTTTGACACAAGGATGAGAGCACTCTAGTGTCAGAAGCCTGGAAAGCATTGCTCACGAGCAGAAAAACAGATACCACACCAGATGAACACTGGAGAAATTCTGAAAAGAAGCCCTAGGAACTGGCACCTTGGTATACACATAGCACAGTTCAAGACTCCTGTACAGTAGCTCAGGCTAGAGGATCTGCTTAAAGAAAAATCCCAAAGGAGATAAACAGTGACTTGGGGACTACCACTTACATGAAAAATTCTCAAGTCTTCCCACCTCATGCCAAAGGCAATCAGTAACTGCTTTTGTTTTCGTTTTCTGCAGTTAGGGATTAAACTCAGGGCCTCATAAATGCCTAGGAAAAATCATTTGACATAACAACATGTAAAGAGGAGTGGAGAGGAAAAAAAGTGGGGGAGGTACTCTCCACAGAGGCAAAATCATATGATTTGAAAATGGCTGCCTCAGAAATTCTGATAGGGTTCTATAGAGTGCATACCCTTTCCTCCTTCTGAGAATCACTGAAATGAGTAAAATTAAAGTTGCTCACTTTAAGTGTTTAAAACTGGCACCCTAAGCCAGACATGGGGGCACATGCCTGCAATCCCAGCACTTGGGAGGCTCAGTCAAGAGGGATGCTGCGAATTCAAGGCAAGCTTGGACTCAAAGTGAACAAAGTGAGTTCAAGACCACTCTAAAATGCACAGTAGAACCCTGTCTCAAAAAGACAATAAAAAATTTTTAAATAAAAAAATAACAAAAGTGGCACGTTTCAGTAAAACCTCCCTTTTCCTACAGCAAAGCCTGTTTCTAACATTTTGTTTACAGCAGTTTACCTATGTATGCTGTTGTGTAGTAACAATAAAATGAATAATGCCATAAAAATGGTTATACACAGTACTTTAAGTTAAGTGCTTGGCACATAAGTATACTACCACCACTACTACTATTACTATTACTATTACTACGCTATTATCATCATCATTAGTACGAGTACAATATAGTACCAGCAGGAGTAGTTAAATCAGAGTTTTTAAGATCAGCCATCCCTTCATGCAAGTCAAGTCAAATCGTACATTGTTTAATACCAGTAGAGATAATACCAGCTTTTCTCATAAAAGCTGTGTAAAACTGATGTTTCTATGTTTGACAAGACATTATAACAATCAAAAGTAGTATTATTTTAAGCCAGGCATGGTGACACACATCTATAATCCCAGCATTCCTCAGGCTGAGGCAGGAAAAATTGCAAATTCAAGCCTGCCTTGGGCACTATTATAGTGACTTAGTGGAACCTTGCCTCAAAATAAAAAATAAAATGGACTTAGGATGTAGCTAAGTATGAAAGTCCTGGATTCAATCACAGCTCCTCCCACCAAAAAAAGTTTAAACCACTATATATACAATTAAAATTATCCAAACAGTCACACACACACAAAAAAAAATATTGCTTATGATAGTGCTAACTAATCTATATTTTGTGTTCTCTTTAATAAGACAGATTAATCGCCAAATGATGCTAAATACATCATCATTTCTTTGGAAACAAACTATGCAAAGAAACAGAAAAACCTACATTCAACATTATAAAAAGTATTTAAAAATAATATCTAATTTCTAAAAACTACTACTATACTGGACAGTAGTTAACTATTACATTAATCCATATTCACATATGTGGACTATGGAGCAATGACAAATAAGGTATGCTTGCTTCCATGTAATGATCTAGAAAGAGGTCCAAGATTTGTGGGGCGCTCTCTGAAGAGGCAATGGTATCATTCATAATTGAAGCTATTTTTCTTAACCCCTAGCACTGGGGATGGAACTGAGGGCCAAATCCTGCTAGGCAAGCTCTCTGGCACTGAGCTCCCTTCGTAGTCCTTCCCCCACACCCCCCCACCACTAAGCTACAGCTTTTTATTAATTTTTAAATTCTGAGACAGGCTCTTGCTGATTTGCCCAGATGGGACTAAAACTTGCCATTCTCCGGCCTCAGCCTCCCAGGTAGCTGAGATTATAGATGTACACCACTGAGTCCCCACCAAAAAAGTTTTTATTTATGTCTGTAACTATCAGGCTCAACTATATGAAACTGCTGTTTCTGTAGGTCAAAACTGATGGCCCCTTTAGCCAGGTGTGGTGATGTACAACTATAGTCCCAGTACCTGGGAGGCAGGGGCAAGAGGATTACCATGAGTTCAAGGGAGTTCAAGGCCAGTCTGAGCTACATAGTAAGACTCTCTTAAAAAAAAAAGAAAAAAAATGATGGCCCCCAACTTATGATTGTTCAACCTTATAAAGATATGAAAGCAAGATACATTCATTCATTAGATACTGAGCTTTGAATTTTTATCTTTTCTAGGACCAGCAATATTGTGATAAGACACTCTCTCATGGTACTGGGCAGCAGTGAGCAGCAGGGAATAGCAACTAAATATTCAGCCACACAATTCACAAGGGAAGCAGTGGATCCTCTACACTGTAATGTGTCGCTCAACTAAAACCTTGAGTATTAGATGTATAAATGCATTCTCAACTTTACTTTCACTTATGGTAAGTTCCTATCACTAATAAACCCATCATCAGCAAATACCTCCCAACTCCTACTGTAGCCTTTCAGCCTGTCAAATAAGAATCAGAGAGAACTTTGATCCATTAAAGAAATACAGTTTGGAACACAATCAGTAATTGAGTATCTTTCTTGTTTTTTGCAGTTCTAGGGATTGAACCCAGAATTTTACAAATGCCAGACAAGCATTTTGCCACCAAACCTCCAATGCTTAAATATCTGCAGTTTTATTTGGTTCAACCAATAGAGGAAAATGCCTAAAAATATACACCAAACTGGAAGTTACAGTTTTTTGTAGGAAGAGATAGGTTCCATTGAGTGAGACAATGAATTTGTAAGGGAAGCAAAGAGTAATCTCACTCTTAAATTGTTTGAATTTTTAACACTGGGCATCTATACACTTTATAAATAAATACACATTTTTTGACAATAAATAGTAGTAAAAGACAAGAAAAACAAATACCTCCCAGTTCCTGTTGTAGCCCTTGAGCCTGTCGAATAAGGAATTTGATAGGAATCTGATCCATTAAAGAAGAAGAATATGATTTGGGTTTTCTTTGCATGGCAGCTGTCAGTCAGAGATAAAAAAAAAATACATATGCATATACATAAAAGTAAATCATCAGAGCCAACAGAAATCTTAAACTTTAACCCAAATGAGAACAAAAACATTGCTTTTGGTTTGCCATTAGTATGTTTGTGATACGTAATAATTATGTTCATTTTAGGGAAATGGCACATACATATATTGCATCTTGATCATTTTTAATACCTGCAAGTTATTTTTAATTCACTTACTGAGTGCATTAAAAAATGAAGAATCAAAAAAAAAAAAAGGAAAAAAAAAATGAAGAATCACTATCAAAACAGTGAATAAACAGAAAAAGCAAGAACCTATCTAAGGGAAACATTTGGAAAATGCCCTCAAATTGAAACTCATGGGGAGAAAAATCAATATAGATGAGAGAAGTCATGCGCAGAAGTTTATTACACTAAAAGGACTGGTGAGTTAAGAGCTCCCAAATCTAACAAGAGATTAAATGCAGTCCTAAACACAGGCTTAAATTAAGAGCCTTGTGATCCCAATGCAACATTTTAAAAATTCTTTACTTAACCATAATATATACACTACAGCAGTGATGACCAGTCTTAGCTCACTAACCTCTGTCTCATCTCTATCATATTTTTGTGCCTAGCATCCCATGCTCATTCCAAGAAACTCTGCTGTATACCACATGACTGTATGACACTCTCAAGCAGGAAATCTGCAGTTTGAAAAAGCATATTCACAGGTTTTATTCTTTATGCTGTTCTTTTTCAAACCATGAAATGTTCAGTGGAAAGCTCAACATTTTTCAAACCACTAAAAGGAAAGGCCAACAATTTTTTTGATTAAGCAAAATAAGAATTGGACTACAATAAAAGATTATCATCTGGGGCCCGTCCACTTGCTAGGCAAGGGTTCTACCACTGAGCCTCAACCCAGGCCTCCATATACGTCTTATCAATATACTTCCCTATAAATCAATTAGCATAATTTTGCAGAAATAGTTTATGAGCAAAGAATGTACAGAAGGCAGTCAAAACAGTAATCACAGATTCCAATGACAGTTAAATCCCAGCTCCAATATTTCATACATAAGGAAGTTACTTAATTGCTCTGTGCCTCAGTGTTCTGCCCTGTAAAGATAATCCATCCAATAGTACGGTTGTGATGGTTTTTGTATGTTAACACCTATAAAGTGGTTTAGTAGTATTTGGCACATAATGAGGACTCAAATATCAAGTGGTAAAAGTAAGATCTAAAGCCAAGACTGCAGATGTAGCTCTCTGCTGCTCAGCATGCACTGAGTTTAATCCCTAGCCAACACCCCACACACATACACACAAAAGAAGCAAATAAGAAAGAAAGAAACAAAGAAAATAGAAATTAGGGAGGTAGAAGGATAGAAGAAAGAAAAGAAACAAGTAGAGGAATAGGGAGGGGAAGAGAGAGGAGAGGAGGTGCAAAGTGAGATTTGGAGTCCTCAAGATCAATTAGGGATAAACTAAAAATATCTCGATCTATGAAGCTGAAGACTATAATTTTAAACATATTTTTAAATGATTCCATCAAAGAATCAGCAGCCCATGAAGCCCAACTCTAAACAATTATTATTTCTCTTTACTACTGCTATAAAATATACTATCAAGGATATTCCTAACCCTTCAGTAAAAAACTACAGTCATGAAATGCCTGTAAGAACATTGGTCTATGTAACACAACTGTTCTCATTTATAAATTCCTTCCAGTATAAAGCTCTCAGTGATTCAAATATAACTAAAACCTCATGCTCAGCAAACCTTTAGATACATTTTAAATATAATGCACAAGACCCTTACCGGTTTCTGTGGAACTTTTTTAATTAAAAAAAATTCAAAACTTCCTAACTAACTTATGAAAACAGTGTAAATCTGATACCAAAGTAGGGCCCATTCTAAGAACGTTACAATATTAATTATAAAATGATGTTATAAATCAAGAGGCAAACTATTCTGATAATGGACAAAAATGCATTTATTTGATATATTAACTTTTTTTTTGGTACCAAGGATTGTACTCATGACCTTACACTTGCCAGGGAGGTGCTTATGCTGCTGAGCTAAATCCCAGACCCTTAATATACTAACTTTAAGTGATATCCTAAGAATAAAAGAAATTCAAAGCTGAATAATTCAAAATAAATGTCAGTACCTTTTCTACAAATAATGATAACTTGTCAGGAGATTATAAAGAGCTTATATAAACCATAACATTTTACTGAGAGATGTAAAAAATAACAAATTCATTCATGAGTCAACAAATATTTAAGTGCCTAGTATGTATCAAGTCATATTCTAGATTCTAGAATTATAGTAGTAAATGCAAAAGACAGAAATTAGTATTTATGAAGCTCACATTTTAGTAATTAAAAATAAAACTTATTTCATAATCTAGAAAACAATTTTTCAAGGGTATAATTTCTCTACAAACTATAAGCTTAACATAATTCTGATCAAAATCCCAACACAATTTTCTTTTATGGACCTGGCAAGTTTCTTAAAAAGAGCATGGTGGCACATGTCTTTAATCTCAGCACTCTTGAAGGCTGAAGCAGGAGGATCACAAGTTCAACCTGAATCCAGAGAACTTACTAACTTACCAAGACCATGCCTCAAAATGAAAATAAATAAATAAAGGAGAGGTACTTCAGTGCAAATGACCTGGGTTCAATTCCCAGTACAGGGGAAAACAACTCATGTGAAATATTAAATATGTAAAAACAGACACCCCAAAATTTTTCTTTTTTTATTTTATTTATTTATTTATTTATTTTTGATTCTGGGAACCAAACTCAGGAACTCACACTCAGGACCGCACTGTGCCACTGGTATATTACTGACATTTTTTTTTTCATTTTTTGACACAGGGTCTCACTCTATAATTCAGGCTGGCCCTGAACTCACTGTGTAGCCCAGGCTGGCCTCAAACTCATCCTAATCCTCCTCCTACCTCCTGAGTACTGAGATTACAGGCATGAGCCACCATGTCCAGCAAAAGGTTTTTCATTTTTGTAAGAGGCAGAAGGATGACTTACTTCTCAGAAAAATATAATAATTAAGCACAAAGAAAAAGTTGAAGCTTGAGAATTCACAACCAGTGAACATAAGTTTCTCAAGGACCAGAAAATTATCTTGCTCTGCTAGTGACCAAGGAAATTTCACATATAACAAAAAGACTAAGCAGGAAAAAAAAAAAAAAAGGCCAAAGTGTGGTTTGGTTGCTGCTTAGCTACATCCCACACCTTTCAATTTTATTTTGAGACACAGTCCTACTAAATTGTCCAGGCTGGTCTTAAAACTTGGGATCCTCCTGACTCAGCCTACTGAGCAGGTAGGATAGCAGGCATACACCACCATCCTTAGCCAGATTTTTTAGGGTGTGTTAAGCAAGTTATGTTTTAGTCAGAGTTTGTTGTTTGTTTGTTTTTTGTTTTTTGTTTTTTTCAGTACTGAATCAAACTCACAACCTCACGCTTGTCAGGCGGGCGCCACTGAGCCATATCCCAATAATTAAAGCTACTATTGAGTAAGATTGTATGTAGGATACTACTGGCTGCTTTAAGAACAGACAAACAGCTCTTTATGTTAGTGACTATTGTTTTTAATCTTCAAGAGTATTTGAAAATAAACTGTTTTACCTAATAATAAAATCTTTAGATGGATTCAACAGGAATCAATTTTTTAAATATAAAAACTTGAAATGTAACAATAATATCCATATTTTAATTGGTTAATAGTATACAGGGATTTTTTTTAGACATACTTTGAATCAATAATTAATGATACCCTATAAATTAGTAAAATTTTTACCATCAATTAAAAAGGCATTTTAAAATAGCCAGGCAGGAATTGTATCCCAAATCCAATCTACTCAAGAAGGCTGAGACAGGAGGACTGCAAATTTCAGACTAGGCTGGGCAATTTACATAGATCTTGCCTCAAAATAAAAAATAAAAAGGGACAGAAATGTAGCTCAGTGGTAAAGTACCCCTGGGTTTAAGGCCTGGTATTGGGGGATGGGGATTTTTAAAATAAATACTAACCAGTCAGTCATGATGGCACACATCTATAATCCCAGCATTCTGGGAGGTTGAGACAGGAAGATCACAAGTTCAAGCCCAGCCTGAGCAACTCAGCAACTTACAGAGATTCTGTCTCAAAATAAAAAATAAAAAAAGTCTGGGGATGTAGCTCAATGCAAAGCTCCTGGATTATCCCTCCATAACACAAATAAATATACATATAGTTTATAAGTAAGTAAGTACCAGCCAAGTGAGTATTTAACTAAAAATAATATTTGCACTATAAATATTTTAAACATCGAAAGTAAAGGGCCAGGGATATACCTCAGCAGCATAAGCACCTGCCTGGAAAGTGCAAAAGACTGAGTTTGATTCCCAGCTCCAAGAAAAAAAAAATCAAAAGTGAATATATTTTTAATGACTATGATATTCCAATACTTGTCTCTATCTCGAATTTCAGAATTCCTTATCTGAGCTTCTATATATACCTATTTATTTTAAAAGTCAAAACCACAGAACAGCAGGTTCTAAAATTACAACATAATTCCACAGGCGGGAATAAATGGAAGGCAGAATAAGAACCTTTTTTGGCCACAGACAAAAAAAGTTGCCTCACTGTTGCGACACAGTCTGCAGTTGTTTTTTATTCCCCTTGTAGATGAGAAACTACACTAGAAAAAAATCTCTTAACAAGGGGAAAACTTCAACAAAAAGCTAATCCCTTTATTTGTCTTCTATACCCCATCTCCTCCCTCCTATCGAAGACAACACTCCAAGGGCCATCCTACTTCATCTGTCCTTTGCTTCCCATTAGATTTTTTTTTTAATCCTAAAAAAAAAAAACTTTCTTGATCTCATTTTCCACTCCAGTTATCACATCATCCCTCTTCTTTCCAGCTCCTCAGAAGCGCAGCCTTGCCTCCTCATCAGCTGTGTATCTCCTCTATTCTGTTTTGAATTCATTCATTACAATTTGGCTTTCATCCTCCTACAATTACCTTTTCACCAGCAAAACAGTAGTGGCCAAATGACCCCCAGCAAGCCCTTAAGTAGTCATCGCTGAGCCCCAGTCCCAAGTTTAGTTGCCCTACCAACATCATATGACATAGGTCCTCACTCCTTTTATCTTTTTATTTGAGACAGCATCTCACTCAATGGCCCAGGCTGACCTGTAACTTAGGATCCTCCTCCCTCTGTTTCCTGAAGAGGTGGGAGAGCAGGTCCAGCCACTGCACCTGGCCCAGTGACCTACTCAGTTAGGCTGTTAAGAGGTGGACTGAGCCGTGCACGGTGGCTCACACCTGTAATCCCAGCACTCAGGAGACTGAGGTGAGAGGATCCTTGCGAGTTCGAGACCAGCCTGGGCTACACAGTGAGCTCAAGGCCAGCCTGAACTGCAGAGCAAGACCCTGTCTCAAAAAAAGACCAAAAAAAAAAAAAAAAAAAAAGAGGTGGACTGAGGCGTAGGACTGGTTATGTGCAAATGCATGCAGTACTTCTGCACCAAGTACACAATGTCTTTACTGCACAGACCAGAAAATGATGCTGGAGCCATATTTTATCATACCATAGCTCTGAAAGTAGCAAAATACGAGCAAATGAAATGAGCCAGAACAGCCACTTGCCTAGGTACAACTTACCTAAAGTCTTCGTGTTTGCTAGAAGAGCCTCCTCATAAGACAGGATGTAGTAGAGCACCAAAAGCTGCGCCGTGATACTGAAACGCTGATTAAGGCGGATGCTGTCGCCCTGGAGGTGACACCACAAACTTTACACACTACTACCTGCGTGAGTGCTTCTTCCCCTAACAGTGAAGGATCAAAACAGACTACCTGGTGCTGAAATTTGAGAAGGCATGAAAGGCAATGGACTTACCTAGTTCTTTTAAGACAGGACCAAAATAAAAACCTTCAGCTATTACTCTCAACAGCATTCCTATCAGGCTACCTTGCAAAGGCTTACAGGAATCTATAAAGTATTACGTGAAATTCCCCTGAAGAAACAACTATAAAAAACACAATGAATATTTAACTATATTCATAAAAATCCAACTTTTTCTCTTCTAACAAATTGAGGAAAAAAAATATAAAGTTTTCAATGTATTTGGATTCATAGGAAACTAAGCAGTACTATATTGAACATGTTAAAATACCATAATTCTTTAACAAATACACAATCTTCAAGGTACCTTTAATATTTTAAAATAAAACTTTGTTGTTGTTGTTTTGGTTTTGTTTTTTCAAGACAAGGTCTTACTACATAGTTCAGTCTTGTCTTAATCTCACTATGTAGCCCAGGTTGGCCTTGAACTCCTCGCACTGATCCTCCTGCCTCAGCCTACTTAGTGCTGCGATCACAGACATGTACCATTATTCCCAGGTTTAAAATAAAACTACAGTGCCATGGGGCTGGGGATTTAGCTCAGCAGTATAAGCACCTGCCTTGCAAGCAGGTGGTCATGAGTTCAATCCCTGATACCAATAAAAAAGAAAAAGACAAACAAAAAAAAAAAACCTAGAGTGCCTATTTAACAAACTACTTGTAACTAATAGCATTATTTAACTTTTTAGCATTATTTAATTTTTACAGATGATCGACTGACAATACTGACAATATTATTTTAAATTCAGAATCACCTCAAAGTCTTATTAAGGGAAAAAATATGAAATCAGAAAAAAGGGAAAGGAAAATCAGCTAAAAAATGTAAAAGAACCACTACTTTACCCCAATGACTTCTTGGAAAATATTGAGTATCTCTTGTTCTGTGACTGGCTGATTTGTGGCTTCTGGGTTAGATTTAGAAGCAGGAGTAAGTATAGAATTTATGTACACATCAATTAGAGGAAGTAACTGAGGATGGAGTGGAGTGGAAGTTTCACACAGCTGTCGATAAATCCAATCCTAAAAAAAGTTACAGGCACTGAATCAATTGTGGCAGTAAGAAAAAGCAAGCAAAATTATAGAATCACACGCAGTTTTACATGATTTAGGAATCAGTGAAACTCAGTATTAACTTTTGGTAGTCCCAAATATATTATTGAGTTTCATAATTTTCTTTGACATAAAAACATAAATTATATTTACATTCTAAGTAAGAATACTATCCAGTGAAAGATCAACCAAATAGCACAAGAAGTCTAGTTCTGGGTTTAAATAGTTTTAAAGTAGCAAGGAAAACATTTTCAGTCCCTACTAAATATGTATCTACAGTACTATATTTGTTGTCATGGAAGACTCTACAGCAGAGAAGTTTAGGGAAAGAGATCTTTCTTCAAATATTAATTCATACTAAGAAAGTAACCATAATCAGCACTGATAGGACAATACCACGTAACTATCTTAAAAAAAACACATAGAAATGTCGGAGTATATACTTTATTTGGATTCTTAATTCCTAGCTGGTTAACTGGGTTGTTTGGTTTGGTTTGGTTTGGTTTTTTGAGACAAGGACTCACTATGTAGTTCAGCCTGGCCTTGAACTCACTAGGTAGCCCAGGCTGGTCTCAAAATCAGGTAATGCTCCCGCCTCAGCCTCTGGCATGTGCCACCACGCCCAGCACTTTTTGATAATAAAAACACAAATTGCAATCTAGCTACAAAATAACTTCATTAAATCATTTTAAAAAAGGGCAAATAAAGCAATATATCATGAATACACTGTTCACTGTTTCTTATAAATAAGCAAACTCAAAAAGGTTTATATACCTCCTTTTCTGCAGCCAAATGTATTACACTTAAAATATTTTATATGTACAAATTAGGTATTGGATGGCCTGGCAATAAACTTGCACAGCTAACCAGCAACTCTCCCAATTTGGTGGACGCAACTAAAATTTAGAAAATGGTCATTTCTTCCTAGGTGTTAATGACAGTGTTAATAATAACCAGATGCTATTACTGAGAATTTAAATGGAAGAGTAATAGTTTTACATTTTTTAAACAACAGTGATATTTTTAAAAACTCTGAAATTGAGTCCCTAATAAGTACCTGTATGAATGACTATTAAGTTAGCTAAATGCCACACACATTTGGCACACAAAGCCCACAGTGAAGGCCTACACACTACAACAAAACTGGCTAGGGAGAGAAAACATTAACTTAGATTGTAGTTGGAAATGCAAATACAAAGTCATACTTTAATTGACACTTTGTGCTTGGTAAAGGAACGACTCCTGAGAAGCTGGTAAATACAATGAATAGGTAAAAACCCGGTAATATTGGCACTCAGGTTGCTGGTGACAGGGACCCGAACTGCATGGGCTGTGACAACCTAAAATGTAAAAATAATATGAATACATACAACAGAATCAAATACAAAATTATTTTGAAAGAGAAAAGGCAGATTATCAATTCTTACTGTGTGGTACTTAATATCACATTCTTAAATTAATCTTAAATAATGAGCAAGCATACATTTAGGGATATGTAAAATTCTCTGATTTTTATAAAGCACAAATATGTACATAGTGGCATGATAAGGTAAAAATATACTTATATATAATTTAGAATCATATGATCTGGGCTCAGTGATGTTAGAAAAGTCACTTTATCTTCTGAATCCATTTTCACATCTACAAATGGGAGATTATGTCATCTAACTCAAAGGGTTATTGCAATGAGAAAATATTTTTGAAGACAATTATGTGAATTATAAAGTACCACATAAACAGCGATTGTTATTCTCCACGTGTCGTGCATCGACCTCTACTTGTCTTTCAAAGACTCACCCAGACTTGTGTTCCAATAGATTCAAATTCAATAATGTAAAAAGTAACGTGAGTCTCCTGTGTCCTTCAGGAGATCATCAGTACACTGGAGCACAGATGTGCACATGTGTGAAAGGAGGGGAAGTGCTTGGCATAGGGCTAAGGGTATTAATCACATCCAAGAAGCAACAACCATGTGCCTGTATTTAAAAATACCCATTTTTCAGACATATATATTTTGTATTGTAAGATTTAAGTTGATAAATGAATTTGAGAATTCATTTTAAATTTTAGAATGAACTCCAATGGAAAAAATTCTAATATTTCTAAGTTTATCCATAGACAAAAGGATTGAGACCAGAACAGTCATGTAAATACAGGAATAATACCAAAGCTACATACATTTAAAACATACTTTTTATACAATGGGTTGCCTTATAATTCTTCAAAATGGAATGGATAAGGACCATATTATTAAGGTGATATAAGTTTTCTCCCCCAAAACACTAGAAGAGAAAGTTAAATAAATACTTAAAAATACAAAATAACTTACCTGCTCAGTAAAAATTTCTTGTGTAAAGACAGTTTTCATCCTGCTCAAGGAACTTGGCTTAATTACAATCTAAAATAGTAAAAAGAATTCCAATAGTATGTAAAATATATGGAACACAATCTACTTTAGAGAATTTATTATCTAAACTAGGCATAATACACAATATGCATGTTCAGAGGCACCTTCTAAAACCCAACGTTAAAAGATGTTTTTCTTCAGAAAAAGAACCAATATAATGTAAGTACTTAGTAAAAGCAGGGCTGGTGGCACACATCTGTAGTCTTAGCTACTGGGAGAGGCTGTGGCAGAAATGCTTGAGCCCAGGGGTTTCAGGTCAGCCTAGACAACATAGCAACACTGACCACAAAGCTGAATACACTTGCCAAGTATACACAACGCCCTGACTAGAACCCCTGCACTGCAAAGAAGAAGGGAAGAGAAGAGTACACAAGCGAGGGTTTGAGAAGGACAGGGAAGGGAAGGGAGGGGAGGGAAGGGCCAGGGAAGAAATAATATACTACATAAAAACAATGGCAATAATTTTTTCATGGCAAAGTTAAATAACTAGCAAGAAAGACTGGAAAAATCATTTGTAAAATATTCTACTTCATAACTTTGCAAGACACTATTATGCATCAACAGATTTAATAATAGCCTTCTAAGTTAAAAAGTAGAGACAAAACATTATCACACTCACAAGTTAACTGTAAAACACGTTCCAACTTCAATACTGGATAAAATATGTGCCTTAAAATTAGTAAAACATATAAAGTATAATGGCATATCATTTTATATATAAGGTACTTGGGTTCAAGTCACAGTACAACAAAAATAGTTACATTGTACTATAATATTTAGATATAAAGCATTAATCATATACTAAGTTTTATTGCATCTTTTGTTTTGTTTGCAGCACTGGACATGGAACCCAGGACCCTTTATACTGAGCTATATCTCCACCCTTTTTTTAAAGAATTTTTTTGTTTTGTGAGAGGGTGTCCTAAATCCCTAATTTGCTAAGGCTGAGCTTGAATTCATTATGCTGTCTCCACTTCACAGAGTGCTGGAAAGCATCTAGTGCTGTGTTTTGGTTTCTTGCAGTGCTGATCAGTAAGTCTTTCATCTAAATTATGAAACACTAGAACATTAACAGTGTCTACTTGATTATCACTAACTGATGGGAATAAGATGTTTTTCTACACTTTCCAAACTGTCTGCACTGAATACCTATTTTTCCTTAAAATAAATTGTTCACAGTGTATTTTTTTATTTTTATCAGTACCGGGGATCGAACTCATGATCGCCTGCTTGCAAAGCAGGTGCTTATACCACTGAGCTAAATCTTCAGCCCCCACAGTGTATTTTCTTAGAGCACCTGATAAAACTTCACATTTTTTTGTTTTTGTTTTTGTTTGTTTTTTTGATACAGGGTCTCACTTTGTAGTTCAGGGTGGCCTGAACTCCTTTGTAGCTCAGTTTGGTCTAGAACTTCCAACAATCCTCCTGCCTCAGCCTCCCGAGTGCGGGGATCACAGGCATGCACCACCATGCCCACTCTAACTTCAAACTTTTTTTTTTTGGTACCAGGGATCAAGCTCATGACCACATGCTTGCAAGGCAGGCACTTAGGCCACTGTGCTAAATCACCAGCTAACTTTAAACAACTAAAATGACTTAAATGAAAACAATGTATTTATTTTACACTCAAAAACACCCTCTGATTTGGAAATATCTTTTAGAAAGAAAATTACCTTCATTCCCAAAGTGGAGCAGACTAGGTCAATGATAGCATTCAGCTGATTGCTGTGAAAGTACATAGCCACCAACAATAACATCTCCCCAAAAGAAGCAGAGACACCTGAAGTGCTGTTACAACAAAAAAATAAGAATTTCCAGAGAATAAGAAAAAGATTTTCAGCTCAATTTCTCCGATGTTATTAGAAGTAAACTCACCTCTCAAAGTAAGCTTCTTCCTTTATCATCCAACTTAGCCACACCACCATCAGCTGCTCCTGTTCAGGGGTGCTGCGCAAAACACAACACAAGTCATCAGCTTACACTGGATTTACCAGCATATGAGTAAGAAAGCATTCAGAAATTAGCTTTGGTAGGCATTATTTTTCCCTCTCTTATTCTGAAATATCCAGTTGAATGCACTGTTTGCTAAAATGGACCATTCCTTACAACTGAGAGATGAGGTGGCTCTAGAGTTCAAGGGTGACAGTCAGCTCTCAAAGTCTTACTGTATTTGAAAGTTGAGGACAGTGAACATCCTGATATTCCCTAGAAAAGCAAAGACTATTTGGGATGGAAATTTTAAAAGGACTGTATTAACAGTCAACACTAATCTAATGCTAAAACTTAAGTACCAATACATCAGAATCTGACTACTAGGCAATAACAAATTAGTCCATCTTTACCAGCAAAATGAAGACCAACTAACAGAACAATTTTTAGAATTCAAAGCTACAGAGAAATAAATGATTACTAGATCTAATTTTACACCCTCCTGATACTCCACTAAAATTACATGAAAAGAAATTTGTTTCTTTTTTTTTTTTTTTTTTTTTTTTTTGGTCTTATTGAGAGACAGAGTCTTGCTATGTACCTCAGGTTGGCCTTGAGCTCACTTTGTAACCCAGGCTGGTCTTGAATTCTCAACAGTTTTCCTGTCTCAGCCTGCCAAAGGCTCAGGAAAAAGGCAATTTTTTTTTTTTGTCTTTTTCCTTTTTACTGGTACCAGGGATCGAACTCACAACTGCCTGCTTGCAAGGCAGGCGCTTATGCCACTGAGCTAAATCCCCAGCCCCCAAAAAGGCAATTTTTTAAAAGACATAAAAGTTGAATAGGGTGCCTGGCAAGTACGAGGTCATGAGTTCAATCCCCAGTACCGCAAAAAAAAAAAAAAAAAAAAAAAAAAACACAGTTGAACAGGAACAACACAAAACACTACTGGAAGCTAGAGAACATTTAGGTGAGAGGTAACCAACTTTACAACCCTGAAGCAGCAGAATACTAAACAGGTAGAAGGGCGGAAGTGTAGAGAGACTGAAAGAGGAGGACACACGAGGTAAGTAGTAGATGTCCAAATCATCTCCGTTCCACACATCAGAGAAGGCTAACAAATGAGTGTGTGTTTAGAGGTGGTGAAGCAGTTATTAAGGAACAACCAGCTGTATCTGGAGTGACATTCTGAGAGCACCATAAGAGAGCTAAGTGAAGCACTATGTTGCACGCTGAGATTCACCAATCCTGGCCACTCACTTCTAATTTTGTTCACGGGTTACACTCCAGGCAACAGGACAGTCTTCTCTCAAGCTCCAATCAGCCCAAGAGTTTCCTAAAGACCTATCTAGGCATTTTGATGTTCTAACATATTCTCCAGTTTCCTACTCATAAATAACAACAATCAAGACAATCAATTACACCTGTAATCCCAGCACTTGGGAGGCTAAGGCAGGAGGATCACTGCAAATTCAAGGCAAGCCTGGGCTACAAAGTGAGCTCAAGGTCAGCCTGAACTAAACAGTGAGACTGGGCTCAAAAAAACAAAAAGAAAAAAGAAACAGTAGATACCTAGCTTCTAACTAGAAAAGACCAAAGAAAGTACCTCAGAGAAAAGAAGAAGTACACAAAAAGCCCCTTCAAAATTTCACTGATATTCACTGATATTCCTAATTTTAGTACCATTAACATTATAACAAACATCAATAATATTATGCAAGCATAAAAGAATAGATACTATAAAGGAATATTCAAAGAACAAAAAGAGTTCTTAGAAACTCTTTATTGTCTTCTGACAAACACTGGGACCAGGGATATAGCTCAGCAGCATAGGGCCTGCCTGACAAGTGCAAAGTCCTGAGTTCAATTCCCAATTTCAAAAAAAAAAAAAGAAATTAAACAATGAGTAGTAAGTTGAGGATCAAGCTGAAGACAAATCCTAAAAGGTAAAATAAGCAGCTTCTTTCCATAGTGATAAAAATATCTTAGGATTAGATTGTGATGATGTCTGTACAATTCTGTCAGTAACCAAAACCCACTGGATTCTATACTCTATATGGCTGAATTCTATCAGTATGCAGATTACATTGCAATAAAAATTTTTTTTCTTTTAAAAGGACAAGATAAAGGTGGGAAAAGATAAGAAAATAAAATGACCATTTCAGCAAGACTCATTCAAGTAAAACTAGGGTTCTTGGAATTTTTGTTTTTGATGTTTTGTTTCTGTTTTTGTCTTTTGAGACAGGGTTTCACTATATAGTACAAACTGGCCTTGAACTTGCTATGTAGTATACGCTGGCCTTCAACTCACAGTGAACTTCCTGCCTCAGACTCCTGAGATTACAGGTATGTGCTACCATGCCCAGCTAAAAAGAGATTTTTGACAAAGAAAACTCAAAAAGCGAAGACATTAGCAACAATTTAATCCCAGTGAGGTTCCTAGATCTGAACAATATGAAAAGGTTTACTTATTCAGGACAATAAATAAGAACGGAGACCATGGCACATCATCTAGAAATTTTAAATCCTTAGGGACAAATGCTAACTCTACAAGTTTATACATTGAAAAAGAGCAGGCCAAAGGACTAGGAATCAGAATGTCAGACCTCTCAACAGCACCAGGAGTTAAAGGACAGTGGGGCAACACTGAAAATTTTCCAAAGGAAAAATTTTTTTTGGTACTGGGGATCAAACTCACACTGCACTTGCCAGGCAGGCACTGTGCCACTGAGCTACATCCCCAGCCCAATTCTTTCTTTTTTTTTTTTTTTTTTGCCTTTTTCCGGTACCAGGGATTGAACTCACGACTGCCTGGTTGCAAGGCAGATGCTTATGCAGCTGAGCTAAATCCCCAGTCCCCAATTCTTTCATTTTTCAATTCTATAATTGATCAATCACATACTCAAATGTCAGAAGACAATAAAGGCATCTGCAGAAATCCCAGTTTCAAAAGACTACTCCTTACATAACCATTTTCTCAGAAGCATAATGAGGAAGCAAATGAAAAGAAGACAGGAAATAAAGGAAACAGGAGGTTTAGAAAAAAGCATGAAGCAAATCCCCAGCATGACAATGAAGAGGGATTCTTAGAGGTAAGATGTGCAGCTGTGTTCCAAACTTACGCAGATGGAAAATGCTCTACCAGAGATTTCTAACAAAGATTAAATTTACAGACTATTAGCTAAATCAGAACATGCCTTTAAGATTCAGATCTACAGAGAGATTTGCATTAATGGTACAAAGAACATAAATCAAGTTACAATCAAAAAGTAGGAAAATTATTAATATCAAACAAAGAGATCATCTACTATAGGATTGTATTCTCCATAGTTATTACATAATTATATGTAAAACCATAAACAACTACTGATCTAATCAAAATCATAACTGTATAAGGTGAGGGAGAATAGGAAGGCTATGTGGACACTTTTTGAGACAGTCTAAGACAAAAAATACCAAAATGTATCAAATACAAACATATCAGTAACAACTTAGTAGCCATACTCAAAACAATTAGCTAAAGAGTTGAAAGGTATTGTGCTGAGGGAAGGGATAATAGGGAGAAGGTCAGGACTGCTATTAGTTTGGTTTTTCATTTTTATTTTGTATTGTTTGTTTTTGGGTTTTTTTTTTTTTTTTTTTTTTTTTTGCCAGTTCTTGGGATTGAACCCAGAGTCTTTGCACTGACTTAGACCTTCAATGCACACTTTTAATTTTTTTGTCCTTATAGACAGTCTCACTCAGAGCCAGGCATAGTGGTACACCCCTGTAATCCCAGCACTCGGGAGGCTGAGGCAGGAGGATCACTGCAGTTGCAAGTTGCCTGGGCTACAAAGTGAGCTCAAGGCCAGCTGGAACTGCATAGCAAGACCCTGTCTCAAAAAGACCAAAAAAAAAAAAAAAAAAAAAAAAAAAAAAAAATAGAGAGATAGAGAAACTTACTAAGTAATAAACTGCCCAGACTGGGCTCTAAACTGTGATCCTCCTCCCCTAGCCTTCCAGAATGCTGGGATTATAGACATCTGGATTACCAGGCCCATCTTAGTTTTAAAAAAATCTTAAAGAACTATTTTTCCTTCTTTAAACAATATTCTTTTAAAAACTCTGATAAAGCCAGGCGTGGTAGCTCACACCTGTAATCCCAGCACTCAGGAGGCTGAGGCAGGAGGATCTTGGGAGTTCGAGACCAGCCTAGGCTACAAAGTGAGCTCAAGGCCAGCATACACTGCATAAAGAGACACTGTCTCAAAAAGACAAAAAAAAAAAAAACTGATAAAAGATAAATGACTGAAATACAACAGATGTTAGTGACTTGCTTTTTTAAAAAAACATACAAGGGCTGGGGATTTAGCTCAGCGGCAGAGGTGCCTGCCTTGCAAGCAGGCAGTCGTGAGTTCAATCCCGGTACCGATAAAAAAGGAAAAAGACAAAAAAAAAAAAAGATACAACTGTTCATAGCTAGGCAAAATTTGTATAGTAAACTCTTAATCTAATGCTGTATGTACTTTCTTTTTCTCAGTACTAGAGACCAAACCCAGGGCTTCACACATGCTAGGCACTGTCTCTTCTAGTGACCTATACTTCCAGACCCTGTCTACCCATTTGAATACATAAATGAAACCAGACTTTGAGAAAGCAGAGGAACTTATACAGTAGCATACCTGACAAGTGTGGAAAAGGCCAGTAGCATACAAAACGAAAGGGAAACAAAGCGAACCCCAGCTGGTGTAGCAGGAGGACGACTTGTCATCAACTGCAGTAACTGTTCAGCTTCTTCTTCAGTTGGTCTAAAAAGCAATGCATGATTAGGCTTTTTAAATTGAAGGAAGAAAAAAAAATTAAAGAAGAAAGAAAACTTCACAACACTATTAACCTTTCTGATACATCTTTTTTTTTTTTTTTTTTTTTTTTGTCTTTTTCGTTTTCACCGGTACGGGGGATCGAACTCACGACTGCCTGCTTACAAGGCTTATGCCCCTGAGCTAAATCCCCAGCCCCTGATACACCTTTTTTAACAGTATAATGACACCACACTATAGAACCATTAACATCTAAAGTTCTCAAAAGCAAAACTTTTAAGAACTTACAATTATAGGGCCAGGGATTTAGCTCAGCGGGATAAGTACCTGCCTGGCAAGTGTGAGGTCACAAGTTCAATCCCCAGTTCCAAACAAATATAGACAGACCTCACTTTTCCCAGTAGTGTGAGATCATAAAAAGGAACACACAACTAAAACCACACAATACAATCTTAATAATGAATGGTGAAAATTACAATTGCACTGTGACTTGCTCAATATTTTTGTCAAAACATGAAAAACTTATAATGCATACAGAAATGAAAAAACTAATAGTTACATGGCACTCTGTAACGGAAAGCACTAGCAACATTGGAAATTTTGTTTTGTTTATTTGGGAACAGCCCTTGCCTTCTATACATTGTGTAACTTGTAATATACAGCATTTTTTTTTCTATGCCTTACTGAACTGTCATATACTCTTCTAGGTTTGGCTCAGCATCCAATGTTTTGTCCTTTACAGTTTCACTTCCAAAACACCTGAGAGTTCCTTTAATGTGAAGATGTTTGCATGTATCTCAACCTTGAAGAAAATATCATTCTTTTCTTATAAATCACTTTCTTCATTTATGCCAATAGGTTTACCTTTGCTAATTTCCCCTGGCTACACATGGAGGGTCTCTCAAATGGTGCCAGTGTCAAAATTCATACCATTGGCTATTTCAATTTATGTCTGGCTCAAATGTCATTTTCAGTGTTAATTTTTTTTTTTTTTTTTTGGTCAAATAGACCAAATATACTTATACTTTCTTCTTCACTCGCCAATTGCCTCTTTCAGTTATCCATTTTTATAAGTGGCATAGGTTTATCACCAAGAGCCAAGGAAGCAATATAATTACCACTTTGCTGTCTATGCATGAATCTAATAAGAGATGGGTGGTATTTAGTCACCAACAGACTTTGAAAGAAATAATGCTGGTGGTCACTAACAGACCCAAGTTTAGTTATACAGTGCTATATATCCTAAAGAACTCACAGCAAAGTTTGCACTTTATACAATTATTAGATTGATACACTGTGGTGACTGAAATTTGGACACTATTGAGGGATGAGTTTTTGAGTTTTTTGATTCTTTGGTGCCGGGGATCAAACTCATAACCTCGCATTTGCCAAGCAGGCACTTACACTGCTGAGCTAAACCCCCAGCAGGGGATGAGTAAACTCAAGTAACTGAAATTCACCCATATCAAAGTGACCATTGAGGACATTATTCAAAAGGATGCAGTACAAGGAATAAAAAACTTTGTTCTTAACAGCCACATTATCAGTTTATGACCTCAGTTGAAAAAGAAAACACAGGAGGGGCTGGGGATTTAGTTCAGTGGCATAAGCACCTGCTTTGCAAGCAGGCAGTCGTGAGTTCAATCCCTGGTAGCGATAAAAAAAATAAAAGAAAACACAGGAGAGATTTACTTCAACTAGCTGCATGGGTGGAGGGTAAAGAGCCACATACAGACCATTCAGTAGAAGTTGTAAGCTGTGGTGAAATTACCAGTTTCTTTATATCGTGATCAGAAATTAATAATGGTCCCTCCGATATTTTGATAATTCTATCACAATCACACTAAAATAAACACGTTTCTGATAGGAATATTTGGCTTTAGAATAGCAATCTTAAATGTAGGCCAGGCTACTATCTGAGCCAAAAGAAAAACTCTCATTTTTTTTATATAAAAAGGCCTTAGGCTCACTTTCCTGGGGTTAGAAAGAAGAAAGTAAAATGGCAAAAAGGTAAAGTATCAAAAAATAGAATACTTGAGGCCAGCGATCCCCATCAAAGCACAGTACAGACGCAGGAGTGCACTGGCTTTCACAACGTGCTCTTCCTTCAGCCCCGAGTACACCGACACGTTGGGCTCCATCTCCACATCAGCTTCCTCCACAATGCGAGTGCTTCTGACTGTGGGAAGAATGCCCATCAGCTCCAAAAGAAGCTGCCTTCTCATCTGCCAAAGGACAGAGCTGCTGGTCTCTCTTTTTCTCTGAAAGAAATATGAATCACACACAGAAGAAAACATGGAGCATTTTACTAAAGTGAAAGGAAGCTCAAACAGACTTACCCATTTAAAAACACTTGACACTGACCCATTCAAAGAAGCTGTTGTAACTCAACAACTCATGTAACAATTCAAGTAAACTCCAATTTTACAGGTCTGTTGGAAGACTATTCTGTTCACCCTGATTTGGACAGGATGCAGAGGGAAGACCAAATTAGTGATTATTTGAATTATAGTATTTTCTTCTTTTTTTGTTGTTTTTTTGAGACCGACTACTCATTATGTAGTCCAGGCTGGCCTACAACTCAGTAAGTAGCCCAGGCTACTTGAACTCATACCTTCCTGCCTCAGCTTCCCAAGTGCTGGGATTATAGGTATGCACCATCACACCCAGAAAATTATAGATTATTTAAATGATACTTTGTAAATACATAGTGTAGGGCTGAACACGTAGCCTAGTAGTAGTATGATTGCCTAGCTTGTACAAGCTGCTGGGTTCAACCTACAGCAAAAAGAAAAAAATAATAAGTGAATACACAATGTAGTACAGCAAGAAATACTCAAATTGTGGAGAAGATGATCTTGAGTTTAAGCCTAGCTCTCCTACTAGATGATTATGTACTTTTAAGTACATGAGATAAATTCTCTGAACACAATTTATTTTACTGACAAAGAAATGAATATTTCATTAATAACATTTAGCTAGTAGTTGTAATTAAGAGTTAACAAGTCTATAACCCTCACAGTTCCTCAGGCGGAGATGATGTTTTAACCATCTCTGACTCTGCAGAACCTTACTCTATGTCTGGTAAGTAGCCAGTAGCGTTGGATCTGCTAAGTAAGTACAAGAATGAAAAAGGAAAGATAATAACATGAAAGCAGTTCTAACATAAAGGGTTACTTGTTTATTATTCTTAGAGCATTTCCAAGTATAATATAGTAAACCTGCTTTAATAGTAAAGTTTAATAATTGAAAGAGAAAAAATATATGGCAAAGAAGGAAAACCTAGAAGTTACCAGCGGCTTGCAGAGGAAAGAAGGAACAGAGTTTAATGGGTACACAGTCTCTGTTTAGGATGACTTTGGGTTTTTGTCTGAAAAGTTCTAAACATTTTTTAAAAAAAGAAGTTCTAGAAATGGATAGCAATGATGGTTGCACAGCATTGTAAATATAGTTAGTGCATGAAATGTACACTTCACAACAATTAAATGATACTAGTTGTATATGCACATAAACACATACATATGTACAGATTAAAATTAAAGAGTGTAACTTACTGGTGACTAATGCAGTAGTTCTTGTGAGTCTGACCCAGAGCCCTGGGAATTTCTAAGACCCTTTCACAGAAGTCAAAAGGGCAAAAGCTTTTCCTTAAAAATACAGTGCCTTTTCTTCCCCTCCCATCTTATTAACCTACAGTTTATTTTTCCAGAAGCTTCTATAAGCGAAATGACAAGAGCTGAAAAATGTAAAATACTTTTATTCTCAGTAAATGTTTTGGTTGCTTCTCATTTAAAAATCAGCTCACATTAAAGAGTAATTACTACTATTTTTAATGAATTAAATATTTCAAATATTTCCGTTGCATTTTTAATGAGAAACATCAAAAGATAAAAGTCATGCAAATAAGTGCTCTTTCACATTCTCAATGATTTTTCAAAATGTAAGGACATCTCTGAAACTAAGTTTGAAAACCACTGATCTAATGATAACTGTCTAAAAAGTGTTTCTTCCTCTTTTAGTAACTGCCAAAACATCTCATCCATACCCGAAACAGATATTTAACTCTCACCTGCTGTCCATTTCGGATAAAAGTTCCAAACCAAGTCCGGACCTTTGCATTTGTTCCAAGAAGCAAACCACTAACAAAACAAACCAGGTCACTCACTCCATCTTCACAAGTTTCACTTTTAGTATGATCCAAAGTCAAAGCCACTCCAAGGCCTGGCAAGTGACATTCTTCCACCTACCACAACAAAGCAAACAAATTAAACTCAGTATCATAAGGAAAAGATAAGGATGTTTCAAAATCTAAAAGCATCTAACCCAGGCGTGGGGGCTATTCCTGTCATCCCAGCCTCCCTCTGGAGGCAGAGGCAGGAGGATCACAAGTTTGAGGCAAGCCTGGTCTACTACATAGTGAGTACAAGGCCAGTCTGAACTATATAGTGAGACTTTGTCTCAAAAAAAAAAAAAAGAGAGAGAGAGAGAAGAGTAACTCATCCAATATATAATTAACATTCCCAAACTCTAAAAGATTCTTCCTGAGAGAAGTATTTTGTCCTAACACAGAATAAAGGGCTTTGTGTCATAAAACAACAGAATCTCTTACCACCATGCCTCGGACCTTGAGGGCCTGAGAAGGATTCATTTTACACAAGAAGCGTAAAGCATCTGTCCTGCGCCTTCCCCCAAGACTTTCTTCATCTTGTCGCTCTCCATTTTTGATCAGACCTCTACAAACTAAATAGGTAAGACAGTCTATTACTCCAAGATATTTGTAAGGAAGATGTTATGAACTGGGCATGGTGGCACACACTTGTAACCTCAGTACTCAGGAGACTGAGCAAGAGGATTCAAGGACAGCTTGCCCACATGGAATCTCCCTTAAAGGGTTGGGGATGTAGCTCTGTGTTACAGCTTTGACTAGGTCTTGGGTTCAAGCCCCACAATCAAAAAAATGAAAGAAAACAAGAACTCTATGTTATATTAAAATAAAAAGATAAGCCAGGTGCGGTGGCATATGCCTGTAATCCCAGAACTTGGAAGGCTGAGGCTGGAGGATCATCGTAAGATTGAGACTAGCCTGGGCTAAAAAGTGAGCTCAAGGTCAGCAGGAAATGCACAGCAAGAACCCGTCTCAAAAAGACCAAAAGAAAAAAAAAAAGCAAAGCCAATTGTAGCGGCCTGTAATCCAGGCATGTGTTGAGGCTGAGGCAGAAGGACTACTGTGAGTTTGAGGCCAGCCTGGGCAACAAAGTGAGTTTAAGGCCTCCCTGAGTTACATTGTGAGGATCCTGTCTCAAAAAAATAAATAAACAAAAAAAGTAACTTTATAAAAAATAAATAAATAGAATTAAGTGATAAGAAAATATATATAGGGGGCTAGGGATTTAGCTCAGTGGCTTAAGTGCCTGCTTTGCAAGCGGGCGGTCATGAGTTTGATGCCTGGTACCGGTAAAAAAAAAAAGAAAAGAAAATATATATACTATCCAAGCACTACTATAAGAAAGATTACATGGCTGTACTCATATAAGTAGACTTCAAAAACACAAAAATTACCATGGGGAAAAAAGTTCATTTCACAATGAAGGAAAAAAAGGCTAAATTTATCAAAAAGATACATCAATCCTAAATGTATATAGACTCCACAAGAAAACTTGAAAACACATGAAGCAAAAACTGCCAGCACTACAATCAGAAACAGGGAAATCCATAATTACATTTGGAGACATCAAGACACCTCTTTCAGTAACTGAAAAAAGTAACAGAAAAGCAGCAAAAACATAGTTTAGAAAAATTCATGTCATTGGGGCTGGGGATTTAGCTCAGTGGCATAAGCGCCTGCCTTGCAAGCAGGCAGTCGTGAGTTCGATCCCTGGTACCGATAAAAAGGAAAAAGACAAAAAAAAAAAAAAAATTCATGTCATTAATTCTCAGCCTTCTGGCTAAGACAAGTGCTGAAAAACCCATGTCAGGTCATATGATAGTAAATAAAGTTTTAGAAGTAAAGATGTCCTAGAGAAATACTATCAATATGCCATTTCACAGAAGAGAAATTATATGTTTTAATGGATATTGCATAATGAGTGAGGAGGGGACTGGGGATTTAGCTCAGCGGCATAAGCGCCTCCCTTGTAAGCGGGCAGTCGTGAGTTCAATCCCCGGTACCGAAAAAAGGAAAAAGACAAAAATAAATAAATAAATACATAAATAAATAATGAGTGAGGAACAAAGTTAGGAATTATATAACCCCAGATTGAGAGATTTTTCTTCCCCAGCTCCTAATTCATATATTACTTTCCTTAATAATAACTTTTTATTTTTATATCACTCGGACTCAATCAACCACCTTCAGTCATTAGTTTAAAATAGAGATGAAAATTCCTTATTGAGTTTTCTCAATTTTTACCCTGTATTATTCTTCAAACTGACAGCAACAGGCTGAAAAACAAAGCTCTAATTGCTGATAGTCCCTACATATCTCTCATACTGCTCTTTGGCTACTGTATATATGTATGGCTTCTCTTCTTTGTTCTTCTATATAATATAGAAATTATATATTATACTTGCTCAGTATTTTTCTACTCTTATATTTTAGCACTGGTGGCCATGGCAAAGAAACAAAAAGAAAAAAATTTTGCTTCTGCTATATATTAACTATATTTAAATTTACAAGGTGAATAAAATTTGGTACTATCTAAATTTTGTATTTCTAAACTGAATATCCACTAAAAAAGCTTTCAGGGCTGGGGATTTAGCTAAGCACCTGCCTGACAAGAGTGAGGTCATGAGTTCAATCCCTGGTACCAAAAAAAAAAAAAAAAAAAAAAAAAAAGCTTTCAAAACATAAGCTTTAAAATAAAATCCTGGGGCTAGGGGTTTAGCTCAGTGGCATAAGCACCTGCCTTGCAAGCAGGCAGTCGTGAGTTCAATCCCCGGTACTGATAAAAAGGAAAAACACCAAAAAAAATAAATAAATAAAAAATAAAATAAAATAAAATCCTGTTTCTTCTTACCGCAACAACAATAACAACAACAACAAAATAGGACCTCAACACTGCACAGTGGCATGTACCCATAAGTACAGTTACACAGAACACTAAGAGGATTGTTTGAGCCCAGCAATTCAACACCAACCCAGCCAACATAGTGAGATTTCAACTCAAAAAAAAGGAGAGGAGTACACAGGTTGATAGTGCAACCCTGGAATCCCTGCACTCTGGGAGGCTGAGGCAGAAGGAGCACAAGCTTAAACTCAGCCTGTGTAATTTAGCAAGACTTTTTCAAAATACAAAATTGAGGAAGGGCCAGGATGTAGCTCAGTGAGAAGTCTCTAGAGTCAATTCCCAGTACCACACACACACAAAGGCTCCTGTACATTGTGCACATACCCCCCACCAAATGTCTTCAATATACCATTTTAAAATTATATTTACCTTCATTAAAACTATCCGGAACATTGGCCACCAAGAGACACAAGAACCAGGCACCATTTCTAACATGTAGCAAGGCTTCAGCTACATCAACTATAGGAAGTAAGGAAGGGAGCTCTACAAGAGAAATCAATGTCATTATTACAGATTGCTATTTCATTGTCCTACATATTAAACATCTTTGGATTTCAAAGATGTCACCAAAATGCAAGTAAAGTTCTTTCTTTTCATAGTCTAGAGCTGTTCCATGAGTGGTGTGGCACGTGACTATAATCCTAGCACTCGGGAGGCCAACACAGGAAGATCGCAAGTTTAAAGCCAGCATGGGCTTCATACACAGTGAGGTCAAGACCAACAGAGACTTCATAGTGAGAACCCCTGCTTCAAACGAAAGAACTGATCTAGTCAGTGAAACACCCAATAGCCACACATGGACATTTAAATTTAAATGAAATTAAAATTGTTCAGTTCCCCAATCACAGTAGCTACATTTCAAGTAATCCTCAGAACATATGATTAGTGGCTACTAAATCGACAGGACAACACAGAACACTGCAGAAAGTTTTATTGAACAATGTTAGTCTGAGATTTCACAAAAATCTTTGCATTTTTGTCTTTTTACTTTTATTTCTGTCAGATACACCTATTACAAGGGACCTAAAAAATATAAAACAGTATAAAATTTTTTTTTAAATTAGTTCCAATGCCATTATATAACGTCAATATTTGTTTTGTTTTGTTTTAGACACGGTATTGCTATTTTGTTCAGGTTGGCCTCGAACTTACTATGTAGCCAGGCTGGCCTCCAACTCTGGCCTTGAACACACTACATAGCCCTGGCTGGCCACAAATTTGCAGTGATCCTCCTACCTCAGACTCTCGAGGGATAGGATTACAGAAGTGCACCATCATGCCTGACTTTTTTTTCTTAAAAACAGAATCACGCCACAGTACCCAAATTAGCCTTCAACTTGAGATACTCCTGCCTCAGCCTCCCAAGTAGCTAGACTACAGGACTGGGCCACCAAAGCTGGATGTTTTTTTGTTTCACATACTGTGAACATTTTTCAAAATCATCAACAAGCATTAGAATCATAAAATCAAATATACTATTATGCAAATAATATACTTTGCTTAACTCACTGTTCTACCATTAGTCATTTTTTAGCTTAAACTTTTAGGCATAATTTTATCAGATGATCCTTAACCACATTCCAGACTAAGAAGTTACACACTATCATTTAACAGCAAAGTGCGTGAACTGCATCTTACCACTCAGCACAGTACCTGCTTGTAAAATACAAAGTACATCTGCAGCTTCCTCCAAGTACACTGGACTCTCAAAGAGCTCAGAAGACTTGAAAAAAAATTCTCCATTGGATTCAGATACCTTAAAATGGGAAGAAAAAAAAGAAAACAAACTATTGTAATAAATTTTTTCTTTTTCTTTTCTTTTTTTTGGAGACAGGGTTTCACTATGCAGTTCAGACTGGCCTTGAACTCACTTTGTAGCCTAGGCTGGCTTCAAAATCACAGAGATCCTTCTGCTTTAGCCTCCCAATCTCTGGGATTACAAATGCATACCCCCACACCCAGCTCAGGTAATAAATTAAATCCCTTACTATTTTTGTATATTTGTTGAGCTCACACAGACCATGTTTCTTTTTTCTTTTTTTTCCCCCAGTGCTGGGGATCAAGCCCAAGGGCTCTATCACTGAGGTCTACCACTATGCACTATCCCTCGCCCTAGTGAGACAGAGTCTCACTAAGTGGCTGAGTTTGACCTTGAACTTGTAAATTGTCCTGCCTCAGGCTACAGAACATGTGACATTCCAGGAGGGAACCACCATGCCTAGCTCATGACTCTTAGAATCTCATCTATATACTGTAGCCGAATGTATAGTATTAAATCACTTTCAATCAATTTAACCACAATTACTATTCAGATCTGGCAGCATTAGTCTGAAGAACTGGTTTCCACCTAAATATTTTAAATATCTGAAATTAAAAAATAGGCAAACCAAAGAAATGATCGAAGAATGCTACCTATATAAGCAGTTGTTTTCAAAAACCAAAAACTCTAAACGTAAAGTAGTATAATAAATATAAATTCACATTCAATTCTGAATGAACTATGAGGAAAAACCAGGAACTGAAAATTAGATTGACAAAAGTACCAAGTTTTTGGAAATTTTCCTTCAGTGGGTTTTGTTTTGTTTTGTCTTGTTTTATTATTGTCTTTTTGAGACAGGGCCTCATTATGCAGTTCAGGCTGGCGTTGAGCTCATTTTGTAGCCAAAGCTGGTTTCAAATTTGCAATCTCACTAAGTGGCTGAGGTTGGCCTTGAACTTATAAATCCTCCTGCCTCAGGCTACAGAACATTCTTCCTGGAAAGTCAGCCTATGATGGGCTCCGTCAGTAATTTTATCACCATATTCCCCATATTAAGAATGCTGAATTGAAAAATTAGAAGAGAAATTTCACTTATTTTAGCAGAACTACCAGGTGATGTACTAAGGAAAACATGTACGAAAAATTCTGGCTAAAATTAACGAGGAAAAGAACAGAAGAAAATAGTATAGTGGAAAAGAAAAAAAGAAAATTGTGGCAGTAAAGATTTTACAAAGATTTGTCACAAGCCAGGCATGGTGGTGGTGCACACCTGTAATTCCAGCACTTGGGAGGCTGAAGTAGGAGAATCACTGTGAGTTTGAGGCCAGCCTGGCCTATGAAGTGAGTTCAACACCAACCTTGAGGCCCACAGTGAAACCCTGTCTCAAAAAGACCAAAAAAATAAATAAATAAAATTTCTGCATCATATATTAAGATGCTTAGCTAAAACTAGCTGAAATTTCCTACCACACCTTCTTTAAAATAAGTTTTTTCCCATGATTACAAAACCAAAGTTTATTTACCACAAGTTAACTGATCCCAAATAACTTTTATCTTTAAAACTCTGAGCCTATTTTCACATAAATCATCTTAATATGAAGATCCAATTTAGTTCTTTGTATGATAAATCCTTGACATTATAAATTTTTTAAGTTCAGTTTCAATTAACTATAATTACTCAAAGGTCCATGACTTGAAAGAGTCTATAATTTTGCTGAGAAAAAAATGGCTTTCATTAGGAGCAATTAAGTCACGAGGTGAAAAAAGCCAAGCAGCGGCCCTACATCCACTTCAGCTTTGCTACTCCTTACTCACAGTCACATAAAAGGAGTTTCACGTTCAACCAGTGTCTAAATGAATCCACACATTTTTCACTTATGCTACACTTCATCTTTTAACAGATGTATTCAAACTAATCAATTGATACAAGTCTTTTTTGTTGTTGTTTTTATCGGTACCAGGGATCAAACTCACGACTGCCTGCTTGCAAGGCAGGCGCTTATGCCGCTGAACTAAATCCCCAGCCCCAATTGATACAAGTCTTGACATAAATTCCTTTCTAAACTCAAGAAGCCAAGCCAGATGTGGTGGCGCGCTCCTGTAACCCCAGCACTTGGGAGGCTGAGGCAGGAGGATTGTTGCAAGTTCAAAATGAACCTGGGCTAGAAAGTGAGCCCACGAACAGCCTGAACCACATAGCAAGACCCTGTCTCAAAAAGAAAAAAGAGGCCATTGTATGAATCCCATATGGAGGGAAAATCCCTATAATAAAGAATGCAGAAGCATACATAAGAGAAAACAGTAATTAGAGAAAGCAATCCTGCTTTTTTGTTTTCTTTGTTTTTGCCATTATTGGTTTTTGTTTTTTGTTATTGTGATGGTGGTGATGGTTCGGGTTTTACTGTTTTGGGGTTTTTTTTAATCTTGGTTTTTTTTTGTTGTTGTTGTTTTTTTTCAGCACTAAGGAGCAAACCTAGGAGCATTCTGTCCCTGAGTTATAACCCAACACTGTTTACTTCTTATTCTGAGATGAGATCTCACTGAATTGCCCAGATTGGCCTCCAATTTGTAATCCTGTTTCAGCCTCTGAAGTAGCTGGGGTTACAGACTAATGTATACTTTTAATATCCTTTTAACCTTTGAAAGGAAAACATGTATCAAACAGAAATGCCCATAGAGATGCAACCTGCCTGACTTCTTGCATCTATTTCTTTCTACCTTTCTAGGCATAGACAGCAAACCACAAATACTTTGTCTTGCAAATAAGGAAACAAAGAAATGGACAGAGTAGGAACATAGGGAGGGAAGGAGATAAGAATTAAGATGTGTTAGGGACATGCACCAGCTTCTCATGATGAAAGTAATCACTATGTACTGCAAACACATATTTATAAAAATAAAACACTGAAAGAAAAAAATCATGAATACTTTTGAGTTATGGCCAAAATATAAAAGAGCACCTTGTTCATAATCGCCAATAGTTCACTAAGCACAAGACGTAATCGACGAGGGGAATCACTGTGTTCAAATTCTAAGGTCAGTCCATGCTGAAGCTGGGATACCAGGATGCTTTCACCACTGCCTCCTCCAAGTTTATGCCTGATGTAGTGCAAACATGAAAAACATCAGTCATGAGAACACTGACGTGAAATAATTACATAAAAATTACATGACCAAATAGTCTACAAAAAAATTACGCATTTTAAATGTCTGCTATTACTTTGTGAAATGCTATTTAGTTTGCCTATTTTTGCCTATTTCCAGAATTCAGAAGCTAGGTGAAGACTCCATCAGGTCTGGTAGTTAACACCCACTCCACTAAACAAAAGCACCTTCTGGACTCATAATGGGTAAGAAAGCATATAATACATCAAGTAAGTCCAGTAAATCCCTTTAATCCAGGGAAGTTATCCTAACCACTTTCCACTGACAGTAACTGACCTAGTAAGTTCTCCCTAAATATGCGGCCAAACTTTTCTACAGATATTTTATAATGCAGAATTCAAAAGACCCTAGAATTTTAACAATAAAAAGATGTTAGTAAAATGACCTCAAAGTTTACAATCTCACTCTTTGGAGAAACTCTGAAAGCCTGAAAAACATCTGATTCTCAACTCTTTCAGAAATCTAAGTAAATCCCAACCTATATATTATATAACAAACATTACCTGAGCTGCTGCTCTTTGCTGGCATCTTGTTCTAGAGCATGAAAGTCCACAGACAACAATGCAACAATAGAGTTGACAGCTTCCACTCCAGAAAGAAGGCGAAGTATAAGTTTTTTATCCTGAGCCCAGCTCTGGCTCTGATCAGCTGGAGCACAAAGTGCCATCCGCACCAAACAAGGCAGAAGAAGTCTCAACTCTGGATCACTTAAAGATGCCAGACGAACAACATCCACTTTCTGCATTGCTTCAAAAGCAAAAGGGCTAACAAACTGAAGACTTGTACACTCCGTCATTATCACTGTTGATCCTGGTGATTAAAAACACCAAAAAAGTATGGTTATAATTTCTATCTGTAGGAACAACATTCTTTTTCAAATCTAAAAAATATGGTAGATCTTTTGTAGACCGTGATGTTGGCAGTGTTTCTGGCACAATTAAGGACTAAGTCTCTCTGTCTTTCTACTGCCACCTGGACAATGAGAAAAACAGTGTTTATTAATGTATTGTTGAGCCTTTGGAATCTTCTGGTCTAATACTCTTACTTTCCAAAGCACGTGTATGAAATCCAGAAAATTCAGTAACAGACTCAAAGTAATAGTATTAGAATCCGAGGCTGAACCTTCATGAAATAACTGCCAGGGCAAAAGCCAGGTGTGGTGCAGCCTGTAATCCCAACACTCAGGATGACTGACTCAGATTGGAGGCCAGTCTGCCCTGAACTACACAGTGAGCCCCTATCTAGAAAAAACAATAATAAATAACAAAATTTTTAAATCCCAATCCAAGACTTTCTTGTACCAAGTATAGAGCTCCTTGATACATAAATGCAGATACATGAATGGCCACAGTCACGCTTCCTTAGTTTCATAAGCCTCCCCAACAAACTTTTGGACTTCTTTCCCACCCTCCATGAGTAGATGAAAACACTGGTAAATCACCTACCTGGCCAAAAGTAATGTCAGATTCCAGAGGATTGTTTTATATCCTCTGTCACTAGGTTTTTAAAAAATAGATGAGTAGGTACAATTAACTTTGCAAGAGACAAACACGAGTCCGCCTTGCACATTTCTACCCTCTTTTAAGAGAAATCAAAGGCACAAACAAAACAAAACAGGATAGCACGGGAATGGGAAGCTCAAAGCAGGTAGCCAATGCCATCCTCTCTTAAGACCGACTGATTAGCAAAACCGTGGGACAGTCATGGACAGAAACGATGCTCTGCCTTCAAGCAGAAGTGGTAGTTTAACAGACTAATAGAGAAAGAGGCGCCGAGACCTGTGTGCTCCTATGTTTCTACCCTATTCGTAAGGACACCCCACAAAATCCCTCCGGCAGCGAAAAGCCTGGCTGGCTGCCGACAAAGCGGGGAACGCGCTGAGGCCTGAGAAGCGGGTGCTTCATACCTTATGGTCTACCCTGCAGCCTCCCGGGGCCCCTCTGGGATTCCGCGTCTTAAAGACAGGACGCGGCAGAAATCGAGAACGCGGTCCGAAGTTGGGCCTAGGCGATCATCCGGATCCCCAAACCCTGGCTGCGCCCCAAGTAGGTTCGGGCACCAAGAACTCAGACGCTGGGACCAACCCGGCCGTCGATAAAATGGGGGCAGGATGGGTAGGCAGCTCACAAACGCAGAACCAAATCTGAAGAGACGGAAAAAAGCGAAGGAGACTTTTTCAACCTGCCCAGCAGCTTCATTCATCCCCAGAGTGGGGCTCCCGTCGGCCACCGTACTGGACTGAGAGCAAGAGTGGCTGTAAGAGGAAACACGGAGACGTCGGCGACCATGAAGTGGTGCGCATGCGCGGACCCGCCTCTTCCTCCACTCTATTCGCCTTGCCTAAGATGCAAGGTACTGATTGCAGTACTTTTCCCAGAATTAACTCCTCTTAGATTAGTCACTGTGAACCTCAGAGTTTCAGTTTACATTTCAAGATTAGCATGGCATTAAATAATATTGACCATGTTTTAAAAAAAAAGTTGTCTCAGTGTTCTTTGATCAGAACTCATGAGTGGACCTCCTGTACCGCTCTAATTATCTCTGCCTGTACCCTCAAGCACCAAAGTTCTAGAATCCCAGGATTTGTAGAATATAAAAAGTAATCTAATCCTAAACGTTCTTACAACACGCGAGCCCAACGCCCACCAGCCATTATTAAATATCTTTCAGGGTTCTTTACCTATGGGTCCGTATATCCTCAGTAGAGCTACGGATGGGATTTCAGGAACTGTCTGGAAATCTCAAAATTGTGAGTTGTTTAGCACTTCTGCAAAGAAAGATCCAGCCTTTTCAACAACTTCTCAAAAGGAATTTAATCACTTCAAAGTCATATTTTCTATAATACTAGGTGTTTCTGGTTTGATGGCACCATCTATTTACAAAGTATTGTAGCTGGGGATTCAGTTCAGTGGCATGCATAAGTGCCTGCCTAGTAACCATGAGGTCGTGAGTTCGAACCCTGGTACAAAAAAGAAAAAAAAAAGTATTGTGGTAGGAGTTGGAAACAGAAGTATTTTACAGAGATAAAGTACTTTATAATTCTTAAACTCTTGATAGGGATAATCTCTAATCAGATCTGGCTTTCAATACACTAGACAAAAGAAGGAAAGAATATGTGTTGCTGTTTTTCTAAAAGAATTTTGCACTGGATCCACAGTAATGCATTTCACATTGTGACCCAGAAGACACCTATGCAAATATCCACATAAATATATAATTTATATGAAATGAAACATTTTATGAAATATTACATGGTATGTAGCCTATTTCCTCTTAAAATTGGCTGATCATTATATTTAAAAGTGATTTCTCACTTTTAAATCTCCCATCAGTGGGTTACAAACTACAATTTGCTTTTATTTATTAATTTTTATTTGAACCTCAGGCTTCACAGATGCTAAGCGAGTGTTCAACAACTAAGCTACACCCCAAACCCCAATTAAGTCATTTTTAAGCTAATATTTATTATTACCTTATTTGTTGAACAGTTGCTAAGCACTGGTATAAGTGCCTTATATCTACTATTTAGTCCTCTGAGATAGGTAATAATTGTCTCCATTTTAGAACTGTGGAAATTAGGACCAAGAAAGAATAAACCACTTCATATTGCTGGGTGAGTGTTTCTCAGGAAGCATATGAAGGAAATTCAAACACTGATTTGGAAAACGAATGAGGGAAATCAAAGACATTATATGAATTAAGAGATTTTAAGGTCTTTTTCAAATTTGTTTCTGATCACTAACAGAGAAACAACATGCACATCCAGTATCGCCATCTTGATCTGTAGAGAACAGCAAATCTCATCTGGCTTAAAGGAGATTAGAATGTCCCAGAGATGACTTACTTTTTTCCAGATTTCCCTCTCCTTTTCTTTCAGTCTTTTTAAAACTGAAACCATTTCTCACTATGTAACCAGGCTGTGCTGGAATTCAAAATCTTCCTTCCCAAGTGCCAGGGTTACAGACATGTACCACCATACCTGGCTCACTTTCATACTTATTTTAGTGAACACTGCTGGGAGTTGTGCCAGTTTCTCCTCCTCTTATCAACTTGGTAAAAAGTCTCACAAGTAATTGAAACATCATATTTGCCGATACAATAATTTTGATAGTCCTTATACAGACCTCAGATGATTTACATGAAAAAAAATTTTAACTATGAACTTTAAATTTGTTTCTCTCAGGTCAACTACTTAACTATACTAAAATCAATATTTTTCTTGGTGCTGAGGATTAAAGCCAGACCCTTACACACACTAGATAAGTGCTCTATCACTGAGCTACGTTACCAACCTTTCTTAAATTTTTTTTTTCTTTTTTAAGATGGGGTCTCCCTATGCAGTTCAGGCTGGTCTCGAACTCACAACGATCCTCCCACCTAAGCCTCCCGAGTGAGTGCTGGGATTGCAGGCATGAGCCACCACGCCTGGCTTCTTTCTTAAATTTTTATCTTGAGATAAATCTCACCAAATTTCCCAGGCTGCCCTCTAACTTGAAATGCTCCTGCCTTAACCTCCCTAGTACCTGAGATTACACGCATATACCAACCATGCCCCATTCTAAAATCAGGTGAGAAGATTTTTCAATTCAGATATTTAACCAGATAGATTAAATATATTCAAAAATAGTAAATAACTCCACATATTACCACTAAATTTAATTTTATGTAAATCCCCATGTAATTGTGGTATTTGTGTCTCATTATAATTGTGGTATTTGAAGAAATAATCCCTTTTTAAGACTAGCCCATTACCATTTCTGGTCACAAGAAGATATATTCTATCAATTTTATTTACTTTTGCACATTTCACTCTGAAATTTTAATATTGAATAGTTAACAGTATGCTAAGTTTTTTGTGTGTGTATCTTTTTCCTTTTTATCGGTATCGGGGATCGAACTCCCGACTGCCTGCTTGCAAGGCAGGCGCTTATGCTGCTGAGCTAAATCCCCAGCTCCCAATGCTAAGTTTTATTTGGCAACATTATTTCTTAGTGATATATGAAATAATACACAGTTACACTGTGTTAAATTTGATGTAATGTTGTATAATCCCTATTTTTTAACCCAAAAGAGAATATTATTTTTCCTGGACAATGTTAAACATTTTTTTTTGATTTGTGTTCTTTGGTCTGCTCCTTTTTATTTCTTTGACTGCAGGAATGAAACAGAAGCAAAAAAAAAACACTTTAAAATATCTACTGTTACAGATGATTACATGCTTTTTTGCATAAATGTGTTTCAAGTAATGAGTGTGCTAAGTTTTTAAAGGAGGACTCATGTTCTTTGGAAATAGAACCAATTTTAAAAGTTCATGGATATGAGGAGATATGTTATCAACATGGAACTCAAAACATCCTCAGTGTACCTATTTTACCTTATTAAATTTTTATTCAAGGGGATGGGGATTTTGCTCAGCAGCAAGTGTCTGCCTGACAAGTGCAAGGTCGTAAGTTCGATCCCCAGGACAAAAAAAAAGGTGTTCCCTAAATTTTTATTCAGAGATGCTGTAGTACATGATTATCTTCCTTCTGGGGAGTTGTTATATGTACTAACATCTTATTTCATCCCTTCCCTGAACCTCCCTCCAAACTCTCTCTTTGTTCCCTCCTTTTTTTTAAAAAGATCTATCGTCCTATTTTCTATCTTTTATTTCACTCTATTTTGTTTATTTATTGTCTTTTTGAGACAGGGTCTCACTATGCACTTCAGGCTGGCCTTGAGCTCACTTTGTAACCCAGGCTGGCCTCAAACTCACAATGATCTTCCTGCCTCAGCCTCCCAAGTGCTGGGACTACAAGTGTGCACCACCACACCCAGCTTCTCAGTCCATTTATACTTTGAGTTTCTCATACAAGAGAAGCCATGAGATTCAAACATGTGTTTCTGATTTATTTCATTTAATGTTATGATCTCAATGTTATGGCTTGTGTCTAGATGTCCCCCCAAAAGTCCTCATGTGGTCATAGTGGGGCTTTTTAGAAGTGGCTGGAGCTACAGTGCGTGATGCTGAGATTAAGGATGTGTGGTTACTAAATTAGTCTACTGATTGGTTTGGTATAGTTGTGGGCGTGGATAATTGGAAGTACTCATAACAGATGTGAGTGCTAACAGCCTTACGGAATGTAGCCTAGAAAGAACACAAGGAACAGAAATAGTGTCCTTCACTGCTTGCCACATTGCTCCTTTGCTGGCTTCCTGCCTTCTGCCCAGCATGCACTGTTTCTCCTCTGTGATGCTCCTCTGCCATGTTACCCTACCTTTCAGCCAGCCAAATATGAACTTAAACCTCTATAAACTATGAGCCCAAATAAACCTTTTCTCCTTTAACTTCGGTTACTGGGTATTTTGTCTCAGCAACAACAATAAAATAACTAAGACACAAGGTATATCTTTTTCAATAAACAACTCGTTTATTCTTCTTTATAACACTATGCATAAGTACCAGATTTTCTTTGTCCATTCATCTGTTGATCAAAAAAGTCATTTTGAAGATATAGTTATTATGAGTTGGCTGCTATAAACATGTATCACTGTCATAGCTCGTTAGGGAGATGCCTAGAACAAAAATAGCTAGGTCAAACTGAATTTTTTTATTTTTAATTTATTGAGGAATCTGCTTATTGATTTCCGAAATGGTTACACTGTACTAGTTTGCATTTCCGCTAACACTATAGAATGGCTGCTTTTTCCCTGAAGCTTCATCAACATCTGTTATTGTTTGATTTATTGATGATCCTCATTCTTTCTGGAGTAAGGCAGAATCTCAGTATTGTTTTAATTATCATTTCTGTAATGGCCAGACATATTGAAACGTTTTCATGCATTTACTGGACACTTGTACTTCTTCTGAGAAATGTCTATTCACTTCAGTTCTGCATTTTTATTGGGTCTTTATTTTGGGGATCTTTTTTTTTTAAGTTTTATGTACTCTAAATCTTAGTCCTCTGTCCAAGTAATAGATGAAAAACTTTTTGCCCATTCTGTAGGTTATCTCTTCATTCTATTGGTTGTTTCTTGTTTGGTGCAACTTTTTATTTGATATGATCCCATTTTTGATTCTTGATGTTATTTCTTGTGCAATTGAGGTTATTTTTAGAAAGTTCCTGCCTACACCTATATCTTCAAGAATTTTACCTATTTTATCTTCCAGCAGATTGTTTCTGTTTTAACATTTAGATTTTTGATTCATTTTAATTTTTGTTTAGATTTGGATTGTTCTTGTTTTCCT